CAGTCTGTGATTGAAGCTGGTCCCGATGTTATCATGGAAAGCATATAGTCTGTATCGCATTCACCAATCCATTGAGCAAGTAGAATGGCACTTTGACTAGCTTCGGGATGGTTGCTCACTAATCACAGAATCAGCAAATTTGGGTAAACCCATCTAGTAAGTGCAGAATGGAACTTACGTTCATCCCTAATCAAACCTTCAATATCTCCATCGAAGCCAAATACAACGCTCAGCATCTGTTGGCGTAGATCATCCGGCGTGAGGCGGGACTCGTCAAGGGGTTTATGGTGTCCATAAGGCACATCATTGAGGCGTGCACGTGTAAAAGGGAATAGATCTACTGGCTTTTCGGCAGGACTAAGCTGGACCTCATTCCTCAGCCGTGAACCGGCGCGGGAGCTTTTTGTTGACGACATTGAAACAGACGAGGCGTAGGCATAGGAAGCCCCGGATGGCTGGGGCGTTTCTCTCCCAGATGCTGAAGTTAACGAGAATGATGTGGTGGTCTGACCGGACCTACTGGGTGGTGAGAACGGGATCTTGTGCATTCCCGAGGAAGCCTTCGAGCTAACGGAGTTCGTAACCGAATTGGCATGACTCCTATTCACAGGACTCGCAACATCGGCACGCTGTTGACGCACAGCTTCGATTCCATTCGTGTCGAACGGGGTCCTTCGAGAGCCAAACATCGCACCAGACTCCCTCATGTTTGGCGGTTCCTGTAAGGTGCGTAATCTCGGTTGCTCTGTGGGTGGTGGCAAAGCTCCAGCGGGGGCATGTTGCACATTCGCGACCATGGCAGGGCTGTCTATATCGTACTGCTGGACAGTGTATTGAGGACCAAGAGTAAATAGTGTGGCGGTCGGTCCATAGTTGGCAAAGCCAAGTGGGTTGTCGATGGTGGGGATGGGCTCATACGTGACGTGCTTTGTCCTGACATCCCAAGCCCACGTTTCACTGTTGACGGTGTTTAGCCTCGCAACCCGAGGGAAAATAGCGGGCGCCTGCTTACCCTTCAAGGTATTGCACAATCCTACCATTCTTAGACCAAGCCATCCACTTCGGTTCAGTGGCTGGGGAGCCATCAGACCTCTTGAGCACTCTGATAACGCGTGGGGCTTCTTTCTGCGGCGGCTTTGCTACGCTCCAGACTCTCAAATCACCATTGGCCGCCAAAGTGGCTAGCATATCTGACTTCTGCTTAGATGAGGACGCATGCCACGCTAACGAAATTATCGCCGATGGTCCTCGCGAAGTGGACATGGTATGTAATATGCTGAAGGTTGGGTGCAGTGTCGCGAGCATAATCGAACCATTTTGGTAACTACGCCAATCAGTTAGACCATTCAAATGCCACAACCACTAGGCGCAGTGTACATACCCAATAGCATATGTTCGACAATCCGTAGCGGGGGCTAGAGCGGTAATGGGATCAAAGATGGTGCGGCACGAAACATGCTCCGAAGTAGACGGCTCAAATATGATCACGTCTCCCTTTTCATTACCTGCAGATGGGAGTGAGAACTTGTTTGCGAGAGAAAACATGGCTTTATGAGAAGGGGGGTGTTACCAAAGGCCACATTCCCATTTCGCATCCAGGCGGCAACCTTGAGCTGCTCGAAGGAGGCGAACCTGGCGAGTACGCTTCCTGTGAACAGATCCCATACGATTGCAGTCTGGCTGACATCGTAACTGACCACCAGCCTTCCCGCACCACGTTCGCTCACGTTATCCACATATATGAATCCGATGTCGTCCTGGTGGTTTTCGAAGCGTCGTTCGAGTGCCAAAGTATCGTGGTGGAGACATACAATCACCGAGCCCTGCGCATATAGAAGTAAAGACGCGGTTGACGCACATGGCTCAAGCCGGGCAGGGGCTGTCTGTGTCTGCGTTGATACTGGGGGCGCGGCAGGCTTCATTCTTGAAGGTCGAGGATCTGGGACTTGAACTGGATTTCTGTTCCATGATAATTCGACCATCGTTCCGACTGTACACAGAGATGCTCCTGAACAAGGTGCTGGAATTGCTTAACTCGTGTTCCTTCTCCCAATCCCAAGCTCCGTCTCCAGACAAGCGGCTATCAAGTGCGCGGTCCAGGCACACAGTAGAGCAATTATATTATTGGCGGTAACGGCGTGGCAATGGGCACAGGCGCTATTCGGGCCAAAATGAGCAGTGGTAATTATAAACCACCCATCGGCACGTAATAGAAGACGAGTTCAAGCTGGGCACCGAGGGTGCAATCCCGCCCAGGACAGCCAACGAGACGTCACTGCTCCAAATGCCTACCGAATCAAGAACCCAAGCGTTAAAGTGTTCTCAAAAGACATTTGACTATGGGGTAGAAGAGACCACAGTCAGAGTATTGATATACGAATTAGAAGAACAACCAGAACGACGGCCTTTCGTCCCAGCAGACTTGGGGGTATGGGGTGGCGAGAAAGAAGCGAGGTTGTAGCAGGGTACAGCGACAGATATGATGGTGATAGCGTGCTAAATCCGAGCCGAACAAAAAGGCAGACGCACAAAAATGCAAGTGAAAGACAAAGAATGATGCAGTGGAACGGCCAGGGATACAACGCACTAGGCAGGCTACCACGTTGCTGGCACGAATTGTGGAGGGGGAAAGATAATAAGGAAGACCAGGGCAGAGGCGGGGAGGGGAGCAAAAAGTAAAATGGAAAACGATTGCACTAACACTAATGACAGGATTCACACGAGCATGGACTGATAGCCGTGCTCTGGCCCTGTGGACTTTTAATCCTTATTATTCTCCAGACGGCGCCAGCCATGAGAGGCTGTTGTGTAGTTGTAAAGGACAGTTACCTGCAAAATCTGAGACGTCTCCGAAGGCAGCAGAGAGAGTCGATCGAAATCTCCAGCCATCAAGCAACACGAGCTAGCGCCAAGGGGAGTGGACGGCGCTTCCATGGACCAGGATATCCTCGATATGGGACGAGCAGGGCGTTCAACGACTTAATTAGCGGACGAGGGCAAATAAGACCCGTCGAGCGGCATGAGGAGCTGTCGGTGGCTCCAGCAGCGGCACACCAACAAGCATGCAGCAGCGGGACATGAGAGCCAGAGTGCAAAGCAGACTGCCAGTCGATCCTCCCGCGTCTGACCAGGGGGGGGTCTGCGAGAGGAGTTCAGTCTCCTTCGTGTTACGCCGTTGGCAGGCTAACCAGGAGCTATAGGAAGATCAAGCGGGCTAATCATCGAACGATGCCACCCACAATCAACATGAAGCGCAATCAGTGGAAAGGAAAGAGTTTGGACTAAAATGGAGGAGATTAGATGAGCGCCAATTGTTGCACCGATCAGAGATGGGCGGGAAATGGGGGGGTGAGAAAGGGAGAGAGAAGCGTGGTGAGTAAGTAGTATGGAGTCGTGGTGGTGGTTAGTTCAATCCTATTGCATGCGTCCGTTTTTTGCCCAGGCGGGGCTGGAGTGGTACCAGTGACATAGTTACCACTAAGATTCAGTATGGGAAGCAGAGGTATACAGGACCCTACCCAAGGGGAGTTCTGCATGGCCAGCGGCTGCTGTCAGGGACCTTTCCCGTCGGCTCCTCAGACCTGATTGGCTTCCGGACTGCAGAGGGCGTTTCTTCACGCTGCAGGCCTCATCACTCGGTTGTGCCAATCAGCGCCCGCACCCGCCCTAGAGTCGCCCTCAAGTGGCCTGCTCGGCGCGTAAATGAGCACTCTGACTGGTATCGTCAATGCGTCCCCTCGACTGCTCAATCCATGTGGCCAGTAGGATTGTGGCTAATCTTGGGTGATGTGCAGTGGAACTTCGAATCACATCCCTCGACGTGCTGGGGACGGTACTACTGAGGTACGTGATATACTTGGGTACTCACGTGGATGTGAACACTGAAATAGTACGCAGAAGGACCGAAATAAGCAGGAAACATACTAAAAACTTCCGTTAAGACGTGGAAATGGGAGGGCGCATGCATCCTAGGTGATGTCCTCAAATGAACCTTGAACATAAACCGAAAGAGCCATCACTACATGTGCCGTAAGGCCACCCATAATCGTTACCATGATCTGAATTGCGCTCATCCTTCGCGAAATGGACAGGGTGGCGCTACATAGTATATACTACGGCGGTGTAGAAACCGCGGGCACTCAGGTTCATAGTACTACTCCCACGGGTACTACTTATTTCCAAACTGATAATATACATTGGTATCATGAATGGGAACATCATCACCCGTGTACACAACCAGAGACGTTTCCTTTGGAAAGGCCGGATACGCAAGATGGTCGCAGTATAAAGTACATTTATCGGCGATTTATTTGACACTTACAGGAGCTAAGGATCTGAACGGTCGGTCACAGTCGGAGCTGGTGAGACAACAATTCTACGCACACCCGGTAAGAAAGTATACGGAGTATGGAGTCCAAAATAGCCCTTCCACAGATGGACACGGCCTGTGCATGCAATGTGATGTGATTAAGTAGAAGCTGCGCTGTGACTGGTGTTCTTCGGGACTAGTGGGAGGTCCCGGGACTTAGACGTTGCGGGGTGGTCGAGGAGCTCGGACGGTGATGAGATTTTTCCTCTTCCTTGGATGTGATAAGAAAAGCGTCGGGAGACGCAGGCATTCGGCCCATGCTAATCCTGGCGGACTGAGACTGACTGAAATTTATCACCCAACAAGATGCCTTGTGCATGGTAGGATTCAGTCTGTGTCACGCTCGGAACAATGGCATTGTTGTGGACATCCAATATGAAATAGAATGCTCCTCAATTAGAGTCAGAGTGCAACTGTACACTCGGGCCTGTACGTTGCTTTCGATGATGCCAACGAGAATCCCAAGAAGCTCTAGACTTCGCGACAGGGTACTGCCATTTCCAGTTAGACGGACGGGGATGCCGTGCAACGCGACAGGCGGTCACGGGTAGATCACATGATAACGGAACTGCTTGGCTCTGGCTATCACGGCAAAATATCGGCCCGTGATCTGATTTTCCGCCTTCTCCAAAATCTTCTGGGTTCAACAATATCGATAGCAACGAATATCGATCCCATTCTCCGCTGCTTTAATTTTTTCTCCCTGTTTAGCGGTCAAGGCTATTGTCAACAAAATGGGTGTGCAAAAGAAGACTCGCAAGTTCGCGCAGGTATGATTACAAGGCTTTGCAGTCGATACGGAACGGAAACTGATCCTACTGAATCTATAGATGAAGCGCGCCATCAAGGCCCGCGATGAGCGACTGAAGAAGCCGGAAGCGAAGAAGGAGACGCCCAAGGAGGATCAGCTGACTCGTCAAGTCACCCAAGCCCCTTCGAACATGTTCTTTGCCGCAAACACTGCCCTTGGCCCTCCCTACCACGTGCTGGTCGATACCAACTTTGTGTCCCACGCTATCCGAGCGAAGCAGGATCTACTTACTTCGATGATGGACCTGTGAGTTGCACACAATATCTGGACTTTGGACATCTGCTAAGACTAGCTGCAGGCTATACGCGAAGTGTGTTCCGACCTTCTCAGACTGCACCATTGCGGAATTGGAAAAGCTGGGTGACAAGTACCGCCTCGCACTTCGGGTTGCCAAAGACCCTCGGTGGTCTAGGGTCAAGTGCTCTCACAAGGGTACCTATGCAGATGACTGTATCGTGGATCGGGTGAGTGGTTACTCAAACCCCTTCGTTTGGGGTAGCACAGCGCGCTAACGGCTCTCGTAGGTGACGAAGCATAGAATTTACATTGTGGCGACCAACGATCAAGATCTGTGTCGCCGTCTGCGCAAGATTCCTGGTGTGCCCATCATGAAGGTTGCAAGGGGCAAATTCACCATCGAGAAGTTGCCCGATGCTTTGGATTAAGCCTTGGTTTTCTCGAATTGCTGAAAGAAATGGCAGAAAGATAAGATGTGTTTGATACCACGCCATAGCATGACGTTTCACGAAGATATACCCAATCACCGCTTACAAGCGGACGCGGATTCAGTTCGTCTTCAGCCTACAAACGGGGAGCTCGTCTGGTCCCGCTGCATCCGAGCACGATCATCCTGTCTGATGCAGTACAAGTCAATGCGATGGCAACACTACCTGGCAGGCCAGCTCGAGTTGCACATTGGCTTGCGACGTGCATGCGCCTTGGCTGGACTATCTCGATGACCAGATTGTCCCGACGACCGCCTTAAGTCCATGCGCGCGGTGGGCGTGACCAAGCGAGACAGGCGGAAGCCGATATTCGGAGAGCTTAGATAGCAGATAGATAGATGGTCAGTGTCGGCGGTCCTAGCCTGCATAATTGAAGCTAGAACCGAAGAACATCTTAGTAGTGCGCTTTATAATTTCCACGCTTACCCCGAAATACTAGCTATATTTTTGTATCTATTCCTGAACAACAGATAGTTGTCCGGGTGATTCTGGACGCAATCAGGCCGGCCATGGCCACATCACCAATTACCCAATTGCGTTGACATCTAAAGTAGTTAGAAGCATTTCGACCAAAAGAGGAACGATTGATGGCTATAAAAGGCCCCAAAGTATGACTCAATGCCTCCTCCGCGTGCGGGGAACTGGTTCCAGAAACGCTTATCATCCCCTCAATTCCCGCCAACAACAACATCACCACATCACTTAGTACTTACATACACACACAATCCAACCAATCTACAAAACCAATACCAGCCACAGCATAATGACTGAAAAAGAAACCATCGTAGTAATAGGGTACGTCCAATCCCAATGCCAGTGCCACCCCTAAACCAAACCAAAAACACCACTAACCACCCCCACCCCATTTGCAACCAAACAGAGCCGGCATAATCGGCCTCTCCACAGCCCTCTACATCCAAAAACACCTCTCCCCATCGCAACGCGTTCTCCTCACAGCCCGGGACTTCCCCCACAGCACATCCCTCAACTACGCCTCACCCTGGGCAGGCGCCCACTATCGTCCGGTCCCGGGCTCCAACGCCCAACACACTCGAGAAGAAGCACAAGCCCGTCGCACCTACGCACACTTCAGGACACTCGCGGCCCAGGAACCAGGTGCGGGCGTCCAGTCCATCACTGGCATCGAGCACCTCGAGAACCCGCCGGCGGAGTACCTCGACGAGAAGAACATCCAGGCAGTGTATGGGCATCTGGATGGGTTTGAGTACTTACAGCCTGAGGAGGTGCCGGGGGATGTGAAGTGGGGAGTGAGGTATAAGACATTCGTGGTGAATTCGCCGGTGTATTGTGCGTGGTTGCTGCGGGAGTTTGTCTTGAGGGGTGGGGAGGTGAAGGAGTATACGTTTGTGGATTTGAGGGAGGGGTTCTATCTTGCGGAGAGGGTGGGGGCGGTGGTTAATTGTTCTGGGTTGGGGTTTGGGGATGAGAAGAGTTATATTATTCGGGGTGAGTGATGATGATGATGATGGTGATGGTGAAAGTGAGGGTGATGCTGACTGACTATTTTAGGGCAAACGTGTCTGGTCAGGAATCCGTGCTCGGCGACTATCACTCGACAGAATAGCGATGGCTCGTGGTCCTTCTGTATCCCGCGGCCGTTGGGTGGTGGGACGATTATCGGGGGCACGAAGCAGCCGCATAATTGGGATCCTAATCCGTCGATGGAAACACGGGCCCAGCTACTGGCGAATGCTGCTAAGTGGTTTCCCTTCCAGGAGGGAAGTAGAGGAGAGTTCGATGTTATTCGTGATGTTGTTGGTCGTCGACCCGCACGAGAGGGGGGTATGAGGATTGAAGTGGAGAGGGATCAAGGTCAGGGGGTGATCGTTCATGCGTATGGAGCGGGGGGTCGTGGGTTTGAGTTATCCTGGGGTGTGGCGGAGGATGTTTACGATTTGATGCGACAATGCGGACTGATAAAGGAAAAGGCCTCGCTATAACGTCTACTTGTGAGGTCCGCCTTACTACGGAGATATCTCAATTATGGCGCTAGAGCAGGTATATTCGGCATACAAAGCTATTATGGGAATGCTGCATGACAGCTGCGACTTCAGTAAAAGGAAGATGATACAACTTTTCGTCTATTGTTCGTAACATTACTTATCACGGATTATGGTCGCCATGGACACTAAAGCATATCCAAACATCGGAAGGCTCATTCACACAGGTCAAGACTCCCGGTCGCCAGCGGGTCACTTGAAGAGGTGTTTAGATTCTTTTTAAGGCTCACATAGACAGAGTATGGTGGCTTGAGAACCAGCATTGTCAAGAGGTATACATGTCGTGTGCGTGGCCATTGGGATCGTTCTGGGCTAGATCAGTTAAGTTTTAGAGGACACTAACGGCACTCATACCTGATGCCGGGTCGGAGTGTCTATGGCGAAGGAGCCAATGGGGCCCAATTGCTGGGTTGAGTGTTTCCGCAAATCTGGAGATGATCATCCGGTATGGTCATGTTCTGCAGCTGGTCCGGCGCTTCGATAATGATCGCCATGAGGCGGATCTCGACGTGCCACTCAATGTGGCAATGGAACATCCAGATGCGTGATTGATCGATCAACGTCAGTTTGGAGACACCAACTTGCAGGGAGGGATTACTTATCAGGATTCATTGCACGGAATCTAATCACGAAATGTCCCATGGGCTCCACCATGAGCGTATCTCGGCGCATGGGAGTGGCAGAAACGTTGCGGTAGCCATCGAAGAAGCCACCGTACGGGTACGTGCGCTGGAGCACCTGGAAATCATGACCGTGGAGATGCCACGGGTGGAGATTGTCATGGTGGTTGTTGAGAACGATTTCCACCACATCACCATAATTGACAACAAAAGGGTTCACATCTCCATAGAGTTCTGGGTCTAAGCAGGCATCGGGGTCAGAATAGATGGCAGTGTACAGCGTGGGTGAGTCGGGAGCGTTATATGTCATGTTGTTGATGCTGTAGGCGGGCTTTCCATCCACTGTGGTCGGGTAGACGTCGAAGATAAATTGGTGTTGTATGGGGTCAATCAGTGGAAGATTGTCTATCGGTGTTAAGGTCACATCATCGAGAAAGTCCAGACTTGCATTGTTGACATGAATGATGGGCGGAGGAGGCAAAGGAGCATCCTCGTTGTACATGAGCCATGCGGTGCCGTTGGGATTGTACCCTGGAGGTGGGCTCCTTCCCTCTTGAACGAACATCTCATCAATATCGAGACCGTCCCAGATGGCGTAGTTCTTGCTAGTATCATTTTTGGTGGTGAGAAGGATGTCGACTCGTTGTCCAACGGCCACACGCAGATACTGGGGTGGAAGGAAATGCGGTTCCACTGCAATGCCATCCATACCAACAATGGTCATGTCGTGGTCGTCAATGACGAGCGCATGCCCGGGAAAGTTGCCCATGCAGACAACGTGGATCAGGTAGGTCGTGCCGGGCTTAACGCTGATCTTGGTGTTATGCATGTCGTTGAACAAAATCGCATCAGGTAGCGGCTCTAGACCTCCATAAGGGGCATGGTCTCCTGGAACTATGAATTCATCGAGCAAGACGGGTATCTGTACATGATACCAGTCGGATAAGGTGAGAGTCATCTCCTCATCGTAGTGATACGGGGCAGGAACATTGTCGTGCACGATGATGGGACCGCGCAACCCATCAGGATACTGACCGGGCTCGTGGGAGTGATACCAATAGGTACCGGTTTGGTTCATCTAGATCCATGGGTCAGCAGGCGCAGTTCAGGTACTGATCCAGCAAGCATGCTCAGATTACCGGAACAACGTAGCGCATGCGCTGGTTGGGGTGGAGCTCGCATTGGGTGACTCCTGGGACACCGTCCATGTAGCCATTGTAGTTCTGGTGCAGACCATGCCAATGGATTCCGGTGGACTCGTTCCCCAGCCCGTTGTACACGTCAACGATGAGATTGTCGCCAACATCGACATCAATTTGGGGACAAGGCCAATGTCCGTTAATGCCGATCACAGGCCTCGCATACCCATCAGGTGCTGCAGTCACCCAAGTTATATTCCAATCCAGATACACATTTCTGCTCAATGCCTGTTGGACGAACCCGTACAGGCCGAGCGTTGTGAGGGTTCGGATCATTGCCGCGGCTTCGAGTATAGCATTCACCGGATGCGGGCGCAGACTGTTGGGAGCAATTCCTGACGGAAGGTCGAAAATAAGTATGTACAGAAAATTGCTCGGGCTTACTATATTATCGACAAAAACTTAGATCAGCCCGCGGAGCAATAAGGAAAGCAACCCTTGGCGATATGGATGCCTCGTCGGTGTCGCCGCCACGGCATCAGATCCAAACAAACATTTCTCGCATGGCCGGACAGCAAGCCTACAAATGAGCCGATCCGATGCGAGTCGTGCTTTCAGTCGCCGCCCGGGAGAAATCATTCCAGCATAGACATAGAATGCGAGCATGTAACCTGTCCTTGCTTCAAGGGATGAGGAAGGAGAAGTAGGGAGTCGACTAGCTCCTCCTACATGCAGATACCTTCCCGGTTCAGAGATGCAGGATGCCCCGGCAAGAAAATTCCTGAGGTATTGGCACGCTTGTCTGGCTGTGGATAATAGCCGAATATATTGACGCCTAATGGCGGTTACTTCAGCTATGAAGGGGGTCAAATCTCAAGGCACTGTGCGATAGATGTCCGCGCTATTGATGCAACGGGGCACTCCCTTCAACGTCATTATCTGTAGGCTAGCCCTTGGTGCCTTCCCTATAGCTTCCATACTTTGTGTTCCCCTTCTCGTGCCAATAAGATTTTGGAGGTCTGCGGCTTGGGATACATGACCTCTTTTGAAAAAGCATATCTGCTTTGTTGAGACCGACAATAGCATGGCTCAGGGACCGAGACCTTGAACCAGCGAGCGAACAATCCTTCCTCATCCAGACCGCGACAGCAGGCATTGGAATGCGCCTTCCGCCTTGGAATCGGGGGGATGCAAGGCATTCACTTGATGAGAAGACTACCGTGTTGGAATATGCCCTGTTCCCCCAAAGGCAGTACATATTTGGGTCCACCAGGTGGCTACCACGATGTTCTCAACATCAAGCACTTACATGAAGTATTTCTAACTCTAGTTAAGCTGCAATGAGTACAACATGTACTCCCGACCAATCACATCCATCTTCGGCAATCGACCGCTTCGATCTACTTCGACCGTACAGCAACACATACTTCAAGAAGTTTAGGCGCCCGAATTAGCGGTCTCTTCCCTTCCAAGTAGAAACTCTTGGTTGGTCTCGAACATGGATGCCTGGGGGTCGGAGCATGATTCGATATAGCGGGAGGTCGTCAACATGGCACAATGCAGGCAAGGGAGTTTCAGCTACGGCCACCTCAAGCAAACTCTCATCCCAACCTCTGTCAGCGGAACAGCGTGTCAAGCCTTACCGATTGTCCGAGACCCGAGACAGACGGTGACGCCCCTTGATCCCTCAGCAGCTGTGGATTGGTCAGCCCCCCTGCGTTTGTAGCCCTAAGCACCCTCGATAGTTGGTTCTGATGTCACAAGATGTGGAGGAGAGTTCATGTGTACCCCAATCGGCAGGTTTCGCCGTGAGGACCTTACATTGAACGAGCTACGTTTAAAAGGGTTCTTCAATGCTGTCTCCCTTCTGATCTGTACATCTTCACACCGTCTACTCAAGACTGGACGATACGAGCAAGCAAACACCATGGCTCCTTGGATCCTCGGCGAGAAGTTCAACACCGTTTACCCCCACAAGGGCTCTATCAAAGCTCTTTGGGAGACGAAGTGGAAGTTTGCAGTAAGTTTCGCTGGTGGTCGGCATCACCACCCCTTGCTCAGTGGTTGGCCAGCCGTCAGACAGTCCTTATCTAACGTAGCCTGCAGTGTGAAAAATCCGTCTACCCATTCCACGACGGTGCCATCGAAGACTTTCGACCTATTTTCCAGAAGCTTATTGATGTAGGTTATCATGATCTTGCCATGTGCCCCTTATTAGCGCAAGGGTAACATGCTCACTCTATGATAGGAAAACATCAACGATGCCTACACAGATGCCTACACACAGGCTTTCTTCCCGGTTGCCGAGGCCCTGGAGAATAAGGCCTCCGCTGCTTTGAACAACAACAATGTAGAGATGGCATCTGACCTGCTCCGGAGAGCCGCTGTGGTCTACCGCATCTCCCGCTTCCCTTATGTCGATCCGACTAGAGAGGATATCAAAAAAGAGGCCTTCAACCGACAGAAAAAGGTGTATCTGAAGGCCGCTTCCTTTTGGAAGCCCACCATCCAGGAGGTCATCATCCCGCACAAGCATAAGTCGGCCACCGACGGTGCCTATGTTCCCCTCTTCGTTCGTGTCCCGGAACATGCGACGGCAGAGAACCCCGTCCCAGTTGTTGTGCTAATGACTGGCCTGGATGGATACCGCCCTGACAACAGTCAACGCACCCATGAGATCATCAACCGGGGTTGGGCGACAGTTATCTGTGAGATCCCCGGTACCGCGGACTCGCCTGCCGACCCCAGCGACCCGGAGTCGGCGGACCGTCAATGGACCACCGTTCTCGACTACATGGCGACTCGTCCGGAGTTCGACATGTCCCGGGTTGCTGCCTGGGGTCTGAGTGCTGGTGGGTTCTACGCGATCCGGGCTGCACATACCCATCGTGATCGCTTCGTTGGAACCCTAGCCCACGGACCGGGGTGCCATTACTTCCTGGACCCCGAGTGGTTGAGCCGTGTCGATGACCACGAATATCCATTCTTGTGAGTACTGTGACCTCATCTGCCATTGCCAGAGACACTAATGGCACCTTTGATAGGCTCACTCCTGCCTGGGCGAAGAAGTACGGCTACTCCAACCCGGAGGATTTCAAGAAGCATGGCCAGAAGAAGTTCTCTCTTCTCGAGACAGGCATCTTGGATCAGCCTAGCTGCAGACTGTTGCTGCTCAACGTAAGACTAATGCACCCTCAAAATTCCAGATTGGATACTAACCCATGCCATGCAGGGTGTGGATGATGGCGTTACCCCCATTGAAGACTGCCTGATGCTCTTCAACCACGGAAGTCCCAAAGAGGGAAGGTCAGTCAGCTCAAACCAATTCTCTATATACCTAGTACCTAACCATCCCCTTCCACAGATTCTTCCACGGTCTCCCTCACATGGGATACCCTCACAGTCTGGTCCCATCGTACAAGTGGTTCGAGGATGTTCTGCGCTCACCCCAGGAGCCTCTTAAGAACTGAAAAGGAGGGTTATTTCCAATGCGTCGTACATATATAAATACTTGATATATATGTCAACGGCCAACTTCCGACTGAATGATCAACAATGAAAGTGATGACTGCAATGAGATGAGAACATGGGTATCTCGTACTTGGTCTGCAAAATCTTTACATGACACTTTAGTAGTAAAACCAGATTCTGACTATCTTTCTGCCTGTCTTTGTGATCGCAATGTCCTGACCAGAATTTGTTAAGTATTGGCAATATGACTTTCCGTACTCTGGTCCACAAGCCGTAAAAGAAGGTTCTCAAATCAGCTCAGGGCCGTAATTTAACACTCTCTCAAAACTCAGAGTCATGGTCATCTGAGTGACAGTCAAGCTCTTTCCCCACCTCCATCTCAATGACCCGATCTGAGACACGATTAAATAGTCATGAAATTTAAGTTCTCTCCAGACCCTGCTTGAGAGTAGCTTAAGTTTCCAAGACAGTTTCACTTTTCCCCACCCCCTTGCAGATATTATGTGCTCGTATGTCTTTAGTAGTAACTTACGCTCAGACATGGTTTCAAACTCAATGGCTTCCCCCCTCTCTACTCTCTCTCGACTCTTCGTCTGTCTGTATAGTAGGGAGTATTAATTAATACTGTACGTCTTCTAGATAAGAATAACACCAACTCAGAAATTGTCACAAATACCTTTTCATGGAATTGTTCCCATTGTTCACGTTGTCATTATTTATCGTGTGCATATTCCCCCACAGATATTTTGATAAGATGAGTGTGTGTGCTCTATTTATCCCACCTCTGCTTCAAACTACCTAGCCCAGCTGAGAAACAGCTTAAGTATAATACCCCGTCTCAAACATCTCATGTTCCCAACTCGCCAGGATAAAAGACGACGTGCCGAAGAGGTTGTTATATTCGATGGATCGGGTGGTATAGTACTTTCAACAAAAAACCCCGTTAACATTCTCTCTCTCTCTCCCAATCAAGGGTGGGGGAGAAAAGCAAACGGCCTGGAAAGAAAAGAAAAATACGTACCTCAAAAGTAGGATCATACAACCCACAATCCGCCGCAGTGCCATTATACCCCAAGGTACCATCCGCCTCCTCTTTCACGAACTCGCTCAGCAAATACTTGTAACACTTATCAGCCGCGTCCGTATACGCGACCCCATTCGGCGTCTCGCCCTGTAAATACCCCAACCTAGCACCTTTGAGCAATCCATACACGAACTGAGCGGATCCACTTGATTCAATGTAATTGCCCTCTTCCCCACCGTGCAACATAACCTGCCACCAGCATCCAGTTTCTTCATCGGCATCGTTGATAATCGTGTTAGCGACGTTCCAGTATTTCGTGTAGACGTCGTCGCGCTGCGTCTCGTTGAGTATGGCGCTGTTTTTCCCGGACCGTTCGAGCAGGTCGACTAGCGTCATGAACCAATCGCCTAGGGCGCGGTTCCAGACGTAGGGACTCGCGCCGGTGGTGGGGTCGGCCCAGGAGGCGGTCTTGCTGGAGTCGTAGCCGTGGAAGAGGAGGCCGCTGGAGTCGTCGTGGCAGTGGTCTTTGAATAGGTCGAGGCTGAGAGTTAGGGCATTGGTTAGGGTGGTGTTGGTGGGGTCGAAGTAGGTTTTCCACATTGAGATGAAGGAGCTGAGTGGGAAGAGGCCTTCCAGGACGCCCCAGTTCGGGTAGGGGTTCCAGTACCAGAAGGCGCCTGGATATGATCGATGGTGTTAGTATCATGCTGTTTCGCTTCGTGTTGATGTGGGGTATTGCCTGACCTTCTGAGTCGCGGGTCCTTGCGTTAAAGGCGTCGTGGAGGTTGTCGAGGGCTTGTTTGTAGGTATCGTTTGGGGCGCGGTCGTATCTAGAAATGCAAGTGTTGGATTGGACTTGTTATTTGGAAATCAGCTAGTTTGAGTGATGACTTACTGGTGATACATAACATCTCCGGACGCAAATATAGTCAGCGGAGCATTCACAATAAACGAGACATCCTGCACGGCGGGCAGGAGGCTTTCGGCGCCATCTAGGGCATAACTGTGCCAATCCACCTGGCCGCAAGAATCGGCATCGTAGTACTCCTTCAGACGGGTAACGGTCGACTCGAATAGCGTGACCTGGGAGATATTTGGGTAGATATCATCTCCTGGTGTGAAGTCACCCAGAATGGCATCCCGGCGGGCAATGACGCTGTCTGTCATCCAGGCCGAATATGGGCGAGTGTCTGGATCACAGCTGATCCCCACCGCAGCGGCAGGCTGGGAATGCGACAGCAATCCCGTCAATAGGGCGGCGGTGAAGGAGAGAAAGGACTGGGTCATGGTGGCGCGGGGGTGGGAAACGAGGGGGGAGGGGGGATGTGGTACTGTTGAGCTGCCATCATCTTAACCTTATGTATTTAGTGTGTTGAGGGGATTGAGATGCGCCATGGAGGAGGGAATCGTAAGACCCACGGAGGGAGAGGACGGGGCGGCGTTCCTCGATAGTTCAATCGGGATGAAAGGGATGGTGGAGATTGCACGGGGAGATCGGTGAGCGTCAGTTGGGGAGATCGTGCACAACATTCATGAGTGAGACAGACAGCTCCCAGGCTTCCATGAAGTGGAATGTGAGATGAGGGTCTCCGGCAGCAGCAAGGTACAAGCCAGACCGTCGATTCAGCGTCAATGTGTTACAAAATAGTTGGATTCACTTGGTGCACTTTTCATTTGCGCCTTCAGGGCAATGCTGGCTCATTTCAACCTAAAAAAACAAACGTTCTACGTACAGATCGGGCATAGCAAATCATATCATGAATCAGTTCATCCCCTGGATAACGAACCTCCAGACCCTGTCGATGTCTCTCAATCAATCAATCTGGTATCTTCTCTCCATTTGATTCCTCACTCCGCCCCAATCCATGCCTCTGTAGATTCAGTTCAGCTGGCACCGATCCAATGGTGGCTGAACCAGGAATCCAGGCGACACGACTAACCGTTCACGTTTAACCGCAAGAGCCATCCAACCTAAGTCGCGGACATCGATACCAGTCGATCTAGTTTGGTGTATCCTCGTCACAATTCAAAGAACCCAAAGAGAATCAGCATTGTATCTACCATCCATCAACCCGATTGGCATCCCAGGTCCGGACAGCGGCTTGGGACACCGTGCCCAGTGTGGGGGAGGTCCGCAACCCCTTTCGCCCAAGTGCCTTTTGCGTCCTTGGGGATGTATCGCACAGAACTCAGCCGGCTCCTTCCTGTGCAATCGTCTCGTCGTTGGAAACCGGCACCGGGGTGCCATGCAGCGCTGCCAGGCGTTCCTCTTCCTTCCTCTCACGGATTTTCTCCGTCTCGCGCCGCAAAGCTTCCAGGTTCCACGTGCCATCATCCTCTTCCTCGTCACTGCTCTCGTCGTCAGCACGCCAGTTGCCCTCTTCGAACAGTGTCCGTCCAGTGGTTTCCTTGGCCTTGCGGGCCTGCTCCTCAGCAGCCTTCTTGTCAAGACGCTCCTTCTTCCATTTGGCGAATGTCTCAGGCGTGACGGGCGTCAAGTTGCCGGTCAGCTTGTGACGCTCACTTTCCAGCCAGTCTTCGAGGGTCAAGGTGTTGAGTGGCGACTTGTCCATGAGAGCCTTCTCAGCGGCCTTCTGTTCCTTCGTCTTCAGAACGAATCTGTAGTCCATCAGCAACCGTAGCAAGCAGAACCAAAAGATCAACGAGCCAAACATACCCAGGGGGCAAACTGTGCTTGTACATGCACTTGTCACCTCCATTAGGACAAGTCCAGAACCAACCGTACTTCTGGTTCTCGACAGCCTCAATGAAGTACTTGCAGACCTTATCCGTAGTCGTGCGCGGGTTACCGTGCTTGCTGAGAATGACCTTGCGCAGCTTCTCCTCATCCCAGTCGTCAATCGTATCTTTCTTCTTGGCCTCTTCCTCAGCCGCCTTCACGTCTCGAGAATCGGTGTACAGATCCTTCTTAGCCGCCTTGCGCTCCACACTGGCGTCGTGACTGAACTTGCACTTTTTACCCTTCTCACAGTTACCCTGCTTGTAGAACACGCAAAGCACAGTTTTCGGATCCACACCAAAAGGAACCTTCTGAACCTGCACGGGCTTGAACAGTTCCAAGGCCTCCTTCTTGGCCTGCTCGGCGGCCTTCTTCTCAGCCTCTCTGCGGGCCTTCTCGGCTTCCTTCTTCTTCGCATCGGCGTTCTTGTTGGATGCCGCTTGAGCCTGTAGCTGAGCAATCTGTTTCTTGGCCGAACCACCCTTTTTCTGTACAGAGAAATACCGGTCAGTGGGCTTGTAATTTTCTCGAGGGTCGATGATGGATGGTGGAGGGAGTGGTCTGCGAGTTCTAGAAGGGCTCGTTACGTACGTTCTTCATGCCAAAGGTCTGTACAAAATCGCAGATTAGCATTCTCTCTAGGAAATATCGATCGATCAAGGGTCATTTCGAACCTTATCCTCGACCGTGGCCTTCTTCTTCTTAGGCTGGTCCTGCTGCTTCTTGGGAGGCATCTTGGCGGATTTGTGTAGATTTGCACTCCTCTAATATGTAAAAAGAAATGTAGTAAAAAATAAGATAGCGATAAAATTCTATGCCGGATATATAACTTTTGCGCGCCGATACGATGAGGGAAAGCCTCCCAGAGAAACCCAAAGTGGAGGGAGGGGGAAAAGAAAGGGAAGAAGAAAAGATGCGCCGCAAAAGGGAAGAAAACCGCAACGAAAAATCACCAAAGGAGGGGTCGACCTGACGTCCCGACGGGGTAGGTCAAGTAATGTGACGACACCTCGGCTGTCTTTCTGATGGGGAAGAAGGAGATGGGGGGATATTAAAGATTGTCTAGATGAGGAGGAAGAGAGGGAGCGAGAGAGATCAAACCGTGAGGAGGTGCAAGGTTTCCTCCACACTTTTCACGGTGTGGGTTTGCCAGTGTGGCGGAACAACTTCACATAATCGGCCTCTCCGCCAATCGAGTTGGATTCTCCTCCTTCCTCTCTTCTCGCCCTCCCAACCAAACTACTCCTCACCAGACAGGTTCTTGTTCTTTGCGCTTTTTCTGTTCGCCAGAAGTGAACTTGGTTGTCTGGTTCGACTGCCGCTAATGTCTGGGCTTTAATCACGCGACAAATACGCACTGCAAACTACTTCATTACACTTGGTGGTGGTGTTCTACGCTGTCCGGTCGCAAGTCTCGTTCAACGGCCCGACTCTCGGATCTTCTCTACGCCTGGATCGCAGTCCAGGAATGGGCATTGTGAGAGAAATATTCTTGCTAGTCATCTCGTCATTTCAATACCAATGAAAGGAAATAGTTCAAAATTCCTTTTCCGTTTCCCTTCGCCTCTCGAGGCAGGCCACAAACCTGTCCAAGTGCGCCAGGTAGCTCCAAACCATGAACCGTGGTCATCAGCGGTATAATATAGGTAAAAGAAAAGCTCAAAAGTTACAGCATTCGTCGCTCGCCGTTGTTTGCTTTTTTTTGATTACTTGCTTGCGTAGTAGTCGTTGCCTATCTCAGTAGAAGGGCATGGCATTTAAGAAACCTCCTGGATCTTAGAAGACTTGGCAGCCTCGGCCTCGCCCTCCTCCAGCTCGGGCATCTCCTCTTCCTGCTAGAAGTGTCAGTGACTGGACGTCTTTGTCAATTGATTTAAGATTGGTAGACAACATACCTCTTCTTCCTCTCCAGGAACACCGGCATCACCGCCGAGACCGGCACCAAGCTTGGAGAAGTCAATGTTGGAGAGACCACCCTCGCCTCCAAGACCTTCGAAGCCTCCGAAGTTGTTTGCGTAGTCGTCCTCGTTCACCTCGTCTTGCTCATCCTCATCAACCCACTGTCTCTTAGTCAGCTCTCTCTGTTCATAGATCCATGAAAACTAGAACCAGTATCATACCTTGTCGAAGTTGGTCTTCAGGAAGTGGATCTTCTGGGTGGTCTTCAGCAGACGCGGCCAGTATTCTTCCTTGAGCTCCTTCTTGCGCAGCACCAGCTCGACCTCACGGTCACTGTGGTTGACCTTGCTGTTCTCGGGGTCGATCTCGGCGAACAGGTCGAGAGAGACGTGGTATTTTACGCCCTTCTTGGAGTTGCCTGTAAAAGTAACGTTGGTAGGCTTGATGTCGAGGGTGGCGTCAGAACGGGCAACATCAGCAGCCTTGATGCTAACATAGAGGTAGTTGCGCTCGGGGTCGCTATCCGAAGAGCGCTGAGCCCATGTGACTAGTAAACACCCTTGTTAGCACCTCATGCTCGCCGAGATGATTGTATGCATGTAAGCATAGGCAGGGCGATAATATGAGAGACAACGAGGCCGTTGTATGGCATGATGTTTCCCAGTAGCAGGGAACCCCAGAAATGATGAAAATCCAGAGCGGGGAAGGAAATGAGGGACGGGAGGGGGAGTAAACTCACCTTCGGGGTGGACCTGAGGGAGTTCGGGCATTATGATGGTAGATAGCGGATAGGATGGGTTTGTTTAGAAGGACAGAATGTAGCAATCTCGTCAGAAGCAAAAGAAGGGAGGTGATGGGGGAAGGGGATGATGTCGGGGGCTAGACGGATAGTGAAGTTGCAGCAGCAGGCGGTTGCTCTTAGCTGCTGATCGCCGGCGAGTCACTAGTAATGAATGCTAGAAAGTACTGGAACTCTCCCGCCGCCAGTTTGCTCTGTTTGCGGCCTCTGGGTGCCTGAGGCTCAATATTGGGCCAGCGACGTCACTGCCCCCGTCCATATCTTGCTGACTCAGCCGCCGAGTGGAACAGCCAGACATCCACTCCATTCATCCATCTTGGAGCCCAGGCACCGCAGCAGCCAGCAGCCATGCAATAGTCCACATCCTGGTTGGTGCGCCTCTTCTACACATCCCCCCGCCACCTGGCTTCACCGGCTTGATTGCTTGATCGTCAGAAGGTCAACTACCACTCCCTTCACCGCATAAGTGTGTGAGAAGACCTTTGACCACCTCGATTTCACACCCCGCCGTATTGCAAGGTCACTTCAGGTTCGACCGATTCAGCACCCTGACCACATCCCATCCGAGTGTTCCCGCTTCAAGCCAAAGTAGACAATTTGCAGCTATAGATATCGATCTGTGAAACCGTATCATCCTCGCGCCAGTCAGCATGGAGACCCTCAAAGCAGTCTTTTTCGGGCCGGATCCTCAAACGCAGGCAAGTGCCTAACCTAATGAGCGACATGCCTGGCGTTACTGACTGTGATTGCTGTCTCTAGATGAGGAAATGTAATCAGCTTATCCGTGCCAATACCCGACAGTTAGATCGGGACATCGCACAACTGAAGACTCTGGAAAGCAAGACACGACAGTACATCATGAATTCATCGAAGCGGGCCCAGCGCAATCCCTCCCAGGCCAAGCAGGCCAACATGGAGGCTAAGACATTTGCGCGAGAGCTAGTTCGCATTCGCAAGCAGTCCACCCGTTTACACACCAGTCGCGCCCAACTGCAGAGCGTTCAGATGCAGGTCAATGAGGCCTTTTCAGTTCGGAAGATTCAAGGCAGCTTGAAGAAGTCTACGGGCATCATGAAGGACGTCAACACATTGGTCCGGATGCCCGAGTTGAATGCCACGATGCGTCAGCTGTCGACGGAACTGGTGCGGGCTGGAATCATCGAGGAGATGGTCGATGATGCCATCCCGAACAACGAACTGCTGGAGGAAGAGGAAGAGGAAGCAGAGGAGGAGGTCGACAAGGTCCTGCAGGAGATCCTGCACGGCAAGCTGTCTCAGGTCGAAGGGGTTCAGCCCGAGAAGCCATTGGAAGAGGCTCCAGAACCGGAGGACGAGTTCGCGGATCAAGAAGCGACACTCGAGCAGATGCGGGGACGCCTCGAAGCCTTGAAGAGCTGAGGAACATTGAAGACGATTGCTTGCATCTGCGTCTTGGCCGATGTGACGAGAACAGTGGATTACAAGATGCCACTGAATACGGATTTCTTTCCTTTCATGTTGTGAACGGCGTTTGGGTAGGATGGCGGGCGTCTTTGGGATGATCGTAAGTACCGGTTGAGCTTATTTCGTCCTAATGTTGACTACGGGACTGGCCCTTTATTGGGAGCTTTGAGCGGATTGAGCTGGTTCTGTTGATATGAAGATTTTTTTCCGAGAATATCCCTGCTCGTAAATATACTTTATCATCTTTTTCTTCCATGCAACTTCGGGTTCGACTGGGCTTTGATTGCTCTAATTGAGTTTTTGGGCAGCAGGGGCTCTTGGCGGCAGCGGAAGGTTACAGATAAGCGCGAGCTTATGAGTCTGGACTCATAAGTGGGTTTGACCTGAATATACGAGATTAGATTGCATAGCTGGATAGCGTTGTCACATTAGCTTGCAGTAAGTTGTAGATGAAGCCATGATCTGCTTGGGCACAGGCAAAGGGAGGCAGTGTTGTTTGCAGTGTTGGCCCGATGGGCCCCAATGGGGACTAGCGCGATGGGCAGGTGGCTCAGCCTTTCTGGGAAGAAGATCCGGCTGACGAACTGAAAGGGAACTGAACCTCCCGCCTTTCCCTTTTGCTTATCTTCTCCATCCCTCTTCCGTTTCCCTTCCCTTTCATCTTCCATCCATCCATCCTATCCATTCCCAACATCTTCATCAACCCACCTTGCAGCTTTTATCTCCACGCGCTGCAACTCAACAGTCAACGCGACATTCTCGCTTCCTGCCCGTCGTCCAGGTTAATCTGCCAGCTTCTGGACACCGTTGCCTCCAGAAACAAGCCCGTCCCAGCGTCGCGATTCTCCGTGGCGAAACACCTGTAACACTCAACACTCGTGAAATCTCATCACCTCCCGACACCCATCTCTACAAAGTTTCATACTCCACTTTTCACCATGTCTGCCAAGTTGGACAAGTCTCTCGATGAGATCCTCGTCAGCCGTCGCCAGGGTGCCCGCCGTCGCGCTCGTCGCTCGGCTCCCAAGGCTGCCAACACTTCTGTCCCGGTCGGAGGTGTGAAGAAGACCACCAAGGCTGCCAAGGCGCCCGGAAAGGCTGTCCAGAATGGACACCCGGTCTCTACGGAAAGCAAGATCATGGTCAGCGGCTTGGTGAGTATCTATTCTGCTCTAAGTAGATGACCATTTACTAACGTTTCTAGCCTTCCGATGTGAACGAGGCCAATATCAAGGTATGTTGATCGAAAGGCCTTGGCCTTGGGTTTCTATCGCCATGTTTTCTTCTCGAAACCTTCGAGGCGCAACGGCTTTCGCGCGCGTTTCGATCCTTGCCACGTTATCTATATATATTCTTATATCACCGTCATGGATTCTTGGTCTTCAGCACAGGCAGCAAACTCAAAAAACTTCGCATGCGGTAATTGCACGCTGGCACCCTGCGAGTCCGCCGAAGTTGGAGTTCTGCCGTAGTCTTGCGAAAGGCGTGTTAGCTCGGGCGGATCTTCCAGCCATCTGCCTTTGAAGCCACGCAGCAGACTGTGCCACAGATGGTTATTGAAACATACCATCTTTTGAAACCAATCCGATTGGCTACACCTGTACAAGTCCCACGTTTCGAGGCGTTGGGCATCAGCGAGCGCATCAGCCTACCAGCAGTGACCGACTAGTTCGGCAAGTGATCAACTGTCAAGCATCATGCTACCGGCGGTCGGTATGGGAAATGTTTCGAAATCGGGCAGGAAAGACTCATTTTCCCATATCACCTCCGTGAGACAAATCACGTCATGTTCTCCCTATCATGGGCTGCTAAAGAGATTCTGGGGGAACAGAACCATGGATTTGCCGCACACGTAGCCTTCGTGTTGTCTGTCCCCGGGCAAAGGTTGTTGGCTACACAGACCGTAGCTTCTGAAGGCCAGCCCTTTGTCTGGTTGCGAAAAGTTCGATGACGACTGCTAAGTGGGTTAGTTTGGAAGGGGGGCACATGATACAGTGAAGGCTTTCGAGGGAGTTCATCGTCGTGGTTCTTGGGATAAATGCTAGCAGCTCTGTGCTCCGGATATGACTGTGTCTCGGTGTCCTGGAATGAACGGCCATCCACTGATTACTACTAACCGCCGCTGTGTGCTCGCTGGTGCTCTTTGGTATCGCATTTGAAGCCGGTGTCACGCGTTCTTCGATGTTTTGGCTCTTCGGAATCCTTGCGCCTTCTACAATCTGTTGGCTCGACATACTAATTTGGTCTCCTGGTATAGGAATATTTCACAAAGTCCGCAGGTCCTGTCAAGCGAGTTATGCTCACTTACAACCAAAACGGCACGAGCCGTGGTATCGCCTCGATCGTGTTCAGCAAGCCCGACACAGCTGCCAAGGCTGCTAAGGACTTGAATGGACTCCTCGTTGATGGCAGACCCATGAAGGTAGGTTTTTTCTTCACGATCACTTTTCTTACGTATGGACACTAACCAGTACTAGATCGAGGTCGTCGTCGACGCCTCACACGCTCCTGAGGTCCCTGCCCCCAAGCCTCTGGGCGAGCGCGTTGCGTAAGTGTTTTCTACAGTTATCTGCTACTAGGGGATCATGACTAACCGCGATGAAGGCAAACCAAACCCCAACCGAAGCCCGCTACCGCTACCAAGGCTGCTGCTGGTGCCAAGGGCCGCAAGGGCCGCGCTCGTCGCCCTAACGGCCGTGGCAACCGCCCTAAGCCCAAGACTGTGGAGGAGCTTGATGCTGAGATGGTTGACTACTTCTCCACCACCAACGAGAATGCTGGCCCTGCGGAGGGCAATGCCCAAGCAAACGGTGCTGCTCCCCAGCAGCCTGCCGCTAACGGCGGCGAAGACCTCGGAATGGCGGAGATCTCCGTAAGTTTTGTCAACGAGTTATTGTACGAACCAGAGCTAATAAACTATCTAGTAAATATCCCATCTAACATTTGACTCTACATGACGGCGTGAGTCAATTGTATCGACTGCGAAGGGCCAGGCTTTGACTGGCCACTCGGCCAATCTTTACGCACTCTGGGTCTGCCGGTTGGATTCGAGTTTCAAGCTTTCGTTATTTCATCATTGCTCTTCGGATATGTCTTTCTAGTTCGCTCTGTTCTTTTCTTTTTTTCATAATGTCGTCAGTGCTACTCGGATATCGTCGATGGGATGGGGAAAGCCATGTATTTAATATACTTGCTCAATTGAAAACCAGCAAGCACATGTTTCATTGTAGTAGTTGATTTCTATAGTCCATCGTTGTCATGGTTGTCGTAATATTGTGTATGTTGGAATCTCTGAAAAGATAGTAGATGATTGACCATCTGCTGTTCCATGGCATTGACATATAGAATTGAAAGCAACATTTGTGCCAGTTACTTGATTGTATTGTATCGTTTTTAACACATACGTTGACCGCAAGTAACAGTCCATCTCTATCACCTGATATTCCCCACATAAGTAATAACAAGGAAAACATGGAGAATTGACCATACCATAGTGATCACACAACAGTTAATAGTTTCAATTCTTTTAATAACATACAAAAACCCACCCACCAACTATAAACCCCAATCATAACAACCAAACAACCACCACCCTCATCAACTCCAGGTCCCATTCGCGGGCCCGAAATACCCAACCTCCGGCATAGACTTATACGCCACGCCCTCCCCATCCGCAGTATTAACATAAACCGTATTGCCCCACCAATCGGGAAACACCGCGCCGGGATAGGAAATACAAAAGAAGATGACGATACCACTAAGAGCAAGCCCGGTATCGAGCGCAGCAGCCAGAATATAGTTGTACTTCTTCCACCAGGCGAAGAAGCGCTTCTTGATGAAGTGGTTGAAAGCGAAGTTCACAAGGGCCCAGCTGGAGTAATTGATCCCCGTGGCGGGAGGGACGTTGTAAGTTCCAACGAAGATGAGGGGCCAGTTGATGTATTTCCAGTATTGGTTGCGGGTGTATTTGTAGAGGAGGTAGGTGATAAGGGGCGCGATGGCGCCGAGCCAGAAGAAGTGGAGGAGGGAGGAATAGATGCGGCCGACGGAGTAGAGACGACGGGGGCCGACGAGGCCCCAGATGACGGAGGAGGAGTAGACGGTTCGGCCGTTGGGACAGGTGAAGCCGTCGGATTGGTCGGAGGAGCAGATGTCTTGGATGTGGCCGAGCATCCAGATGGTGACGCCTGCTTGAGTGAGGGCGCCGAGGATGGTGGCGAGGCCTTGGGCCATGAAGAGGGTGCGAGGGGGAATTTTGAGGTAGTGGCCTAGTTTCATGTCCATGGCGAAGTAGACGCCTTGGCCGACGACGTCGGTGCTGAGGATTTTGAAGATCATGTTGGCGAGGGGCTTGCCTTCGAACATGTAGCCGCCGATGAATTCGGCGAGGACGTTGAGTTGGTTGGCGTCGACGTTGGTGATGCCTTGGATGATGCCGCAGGGGATCATGTAGATGGCGGGGATGATGAGGCCGAGGAAGACGCCGTAGACGGGGAGCTTGGTGTGATAGACTTCGACCATGACGATGGCGATGGCGGTGATGATGGCGATGATGGCGGCGTACCAGTACCAGGGGGTCTTTTTGTAGGATCGCATGAGACGGGCGTGGATGTCGAGCTTGTTTTTGCCTTTCAGGGCGGCCCAGACTTCTTTGCCGTGCCAGACGCCGATGTGGGTGAGGACGGCGGTGATGGAGGCGAAGGATAGGCCGTAGACGAATGCGTATGTTGCGGGGAGGTATGGGGGTGAGTATTGTCGGTAGGCGTCGACGTCTAGGGTGTTGTCGGCGCTGATGACACGGGCTGTGTCGTAGACTGTACCGGTGCGGTCGTAGACGTCGGCGGTCATCAGGGGGAGATAGGCTGTGAACCATGTGTTGGAGTAGTAGATTCCTGGAACGACGATCCAGAAGAACAGGGCAAAACCGGCGAACACGTTGATGGCCGCCCAGGATGGTGATAGAAGGGGGTTCGTGTTGTAGGCAACCTGGCTCCAATCGAATGTGATAGGACTTAGTCCTAGGCCCGTCTGCATTCCGAATAACTGGTTCACAACCACATTGCGAGGAGCGATCCAACAGATCCATGTGAAGTAGGAAAGGGCAGTGAACATCAGCCCTGGGAAAAAATACCATACGAAACCGCCTGCGGTGACGTAGAGGAAGAACCGCAGACGGGAAATCTTCCAGCCATTGGCGACAGTGTTTGCACGCGAATGAAGCGTCTCCAGCATGGCACAGTTCGAAAGGACCTGGGGCCAGATGATCCTTGCTGGTTCAACTAACCATGGTGCAGCCAGACCGGCCACTCCAAATCCCAGCAGCTGTGCGCAGAGAACCACGAGGACAGAGAAGCCAGCTGAGAGACCGAAATTGTAGAACCTGGCGCTCGATGCCTGGATGATATTGGTGGAATCTGCGCTTCCATAGCCGAAAGATACGTTGCTCATGATGACGATGAGAGCATGTTCTTTGATGTTGAAATGGCGATCTGGGTTGAGGGTGAACGATCCTAGACGTCCGAGGCTTATAGTCCACAAAGGCAAGACTTTGGCCAGGAAGACGCCGCATGGATAGGCAAGTAGCTCTGCTACCAACGACACGATATGAACCGACGGGTACCGAAGCGAGAAGAACTGATTGATCCCCGATCCAACGATGGTGAAAATAAACCCAAGCACCCACATGCGGAATGTATTAACGGGCAGGCCTGGGTCGTCCGTCTCAGGGACGACGGCGCGTACTAGGCGTGTCACCCATTAGATGGGTCAGTGTGTATGTGAAAGGCCGCATACCTTCAGGGAATGGCGAATGCTCTGATTCATAGTCAAACTCATTTGGCTCCTTCTCTTGTTCAGAAAGGTCAAATTCCGGTTGTATTTCTTCGAAGCCGCCTTGTTGCACCTCGACGTCCGCGCTGACTTGCGGGGATTTGAACGATTTCTCATTCAGCTCTTTGGAAGCCATCTCCGCAGTAGTCATCTGTCAATATGACCCTGAAGCCGAGTAGATGAAGGCGGGATACCGCCGACATCGCAGGAGGACATAATCCCTCCTTTTAAGAGCAGGCCGATCAAGAGAAAGCTTGAGTCCTTATCGCCACGCGTGGTGTGTTGCAGCACCTGAGCGTCGTTAGCGTCTGGGCAGGTGTAACAAAGCCGATAAGAAGCATGTCGGTAGTGTCTATCGTGATAACGGCCGAGGTACTCAGCAATCAAACCCCCGGAATGCGGAGAAGCTGGCCTCGTGAATTGTCATGTTACACAGCTGATGCGATCTTTAAAGAAGCCCGAGGCATCTTCAGAATTTGCGATTCGTCGGATACGATGATTTTTTGTCACTCCAATTAGTTGACTCTTCTCGGGAATCGTTTTTGCTTTGCCACATTCCGAGTGAATTGAAAGTCAATGGTTGTGATAAGGCGTGCATCCTTCCGATTGGGAAACAAGACCGATAGCGTTATCGCAGGTGCGATGCCAAGTTTGGCGGGGGCGAAACCGCGATAGTGTTAATGCAAGGACGGCTCGCAATCTAAAGCCTAGATTTCACTTGTGCGTGATGCACTTTCTGTGGACTGTGGGACCTCAGTGGGACTAATGTTCCAGCCCTATCTCGACGATAAATCTTTCTGCTTATTGGCGGTCTTTCCGACTGGCTGGCTGCAGTAGTAGCGGAGGAAGAGCTCGATAGGGTGATGTTCAAGTCCATCAAACTCTAGCACTTTCGTGTACTGGATGACAACCCGTTTTCCATTATGGTGTGCTTGCAAAATCCGTCCTTGCTTTCTATTCAGGTAAGATATAGCCAGAATCTAAGTTTTTGTCAGATGTGTGTCCAGGTTGATTAGAAAGGGGCTTGTGAATGACTTACTGGCATGATCGAATGCCGTCTGTAACAGTCCAGCCCTATGCGAACAGCCATAACTCTCATAATGGCCTTCACTTCGGCCACTGTGAGCCCCTTCGTCTTATCGATCTGAATATTCTGACGGATGTCGCATACAGCATGGGGTACTTCATGTTCCAGGTCTTCTAGAATGCGCAGTATTTGCCAACTCTCGGTAGAAAGCTTTTCGGTTAGTTCGAGGCCTGGCTGCTGCTTCCACTTGCCCTTACTAGTGGCTCTTCACTCAGTGTGTTAGTTAAGAAAATGGATATATGGGAGGTTCGTATCAACTTACCCACACTCGCGGAGAGTTGTCAGGTTATCCAAGCAGAAACCTTTGCGTACGGAGGTGGCATATTTTTCTCGGAAGAGATCAAGGATCAGTGGGCACTGAGTGGCTGTGCTTGAGGGTGTGTTGCCACGTCCTGCATAGCCTAAGCTACCTCCATTTGAGGTATTCTTGCATAGCTGCTTCGAGAGGCATGTCCGTATAGTGTCAGTCGATAATGGGGAGAAAAAGCACGGTTTGAATTTGATTATATCTTGGCTGTTCATGTTGACTTCAGATGCGTCCATCTTCAGCTTCAGTAGTTGCCATGGCCTCAAATATCCAGCTGAGTGTTCCTCAATCCCAGCATGGGTTGCGATTATTTTGTCCTGTATTCTCTGGCGCTTCGCTTCTTGTGAAAGGTGAAGATGGAACATGGCCATCTTATTGTCGCTAGTCAGTTTCTGGAGGGAGAGGTTGAGGCTTTCAAGTGGAGAACGAGTTCTTTGATGCATAATGTAGGGAGCTGAGATGAACGAATCAAGGGTTGTGATTAGTGGAGAATGGAATCAAGACTTGCGAGTTGTAAGAAGTCGAAGTGAACGAATGAAGTGGTATGATGTATGTTCGTTGTCCTTTAGTGAAGCTGGCAGTACGCCACTATTACAAGGTCAGCCCTTCTGATCTCAAGTGCAATCATAAGCATTGAATCATACCAGTTCTGGGTTGCTTCTCATACTCTCGTTTGAAAGGAGTATAGGATTCGCTGCCACGATAGTGGAATATCTCATTGTCTAAATCTAGTAGCATATTTCCCCCGAACATGATTAGACAAAGGTGCCATCTTGTATTCTATTCCCTCTGTTGCTGGCAGATAATGGAGGATGAGCTCATCGTAGAAAATGACGGAAGTGATGGAAGTGGTGTGATATTCGTTGCGTAGCCGCAACGGTTTCCTTTCTAGGAAATTAATCAACTGAACATCTTAGTCGAAAAAAAACAAAGGGGTATAAAGATGACAAGTTTTTTCTTCGAGGATGGTTCCACCCATAGCAAATTTGCGAAACTCTATCTTGGACTGGTTGTGTGATGTAGTATCAGGGAGAGAGCTGCTTGGTGGGCAGATCCAGGGGGAAGAACTCTCCGTGGGAGCAGGTGACCGGTGAGTTCTACTCTACTGCTCTACCACTATCCGCAGGCCTATATTACTTGGTTCATGGATGGTATGGCTACGAGACTGAGATTTTAGACTGGCAATAGTCGAAAGAAACTTTTCATCAAAAGCTTTGGCGAGTCAGACATTAAGGTCTGGTAATAAAATTCCAGGTGATTCGATTAACAGATTTTTAGAGCACATTACTTCATCCTACTCATCCCACCCATACACTTGATCGCAAGAATGGCGCAAATGTTCATACTCTTCATCCACTCAGAGTCACAGAATTACGGATAGAGGGTCTTCACTGGCTATCTCCTTAAGAACAGTAAGGGCACCATGTTCTTCAGGTCCAGTGTAGGTCACCTTCGTCTGACTGTGGTCCATGGTTGTATTATGGTTCCATAGAGTGACGAGTGAGGTGCTCTAGACTCAATTAGCGAGGACATTAAAAGATTAGAAGGGTGGACTCACTATCGAACCTGTGTGCACGTCCCAAGACAGATTTACCTCTTCGAGGCGATAATATTTCCCCTTCAAGTCGCGCAAGAATTTCCGCCAACAGGTATATCTGAAGATGATATTCTCCATAGTCAGGACCCGCAAACTATGGCAATACCTATTTAACTTTGGCGCAAGCTTGTGATGGTCCATACCCGTAACATTGTGTAGTTTGATTACCGCCAGAGGTCCAATTCGAAAATACTTACCTTCCAAGACATCATAAACGACATCTTCTGCACAGGCTTTTCCAAGATCAAGTGAGACCTCATTTACTCCGTAGGGGTAGGGGATATATAGTGGAAGTAAAAATCTTTGATACAAGCCACGGCTGGTTGCTATGCTTGCGTTGATTTTGAGTGATATGTCGGTAACTCTTAAACTTCCATAGAAGGAATCAGACACAGCCAGGAGACTCTCAAGACCGCCATGTAGAAGTGAGGGTAAGTTATCTGTCCTGAAATCTAATGTGAGCGAAGTTAGGGAATTTTCAGTCTCACAAAATGCGTATAGCACTGAGAAAGCCATGTCAATAGCACCCATCCATGCTAATCTATGGTAAATGTGCTTAATTTCCACTGCAGAAATCCGGAGAATGCGGCATTGTGTGAGCTTTTTGACGACTTTTCGCAAGTCTTTCGAGGCTTGTGACTCCAGGGGACACGACGGGAGAACAAGATGACCAAGGCCCAGAGGTCCTCCAGAAGAACTGCATATTGACAATTCTCTGATAGCTGAGGCTTGCTTTTCGGTGAGCCTCATCAATTGCCGCACATGCCGCCGGGAAAGGTCGGTACAGATTGTATGAAGATTGATCTTGTTGAGCGGGTCGGCACACACTTGGTAAAACGTTCGGCAGGTGACACGCAAGGAGCAAAGGTCGAAATACCCAAGATATGAGCAAATTAGATAATATACCTCGAGTGGGAGGTTGTTAAACTTGTTTGCATCATGAGAAATCTGGACCGTGACGCTATGTGTCACTGCTCGCCAACGGTGAGAACGGGAGGTGGTACATGATATGGATGGTACTCACTGTAGACACGTCTAGCGTTGTCGAGAGCCATCATAGGATGGTCTAGTGACAAGTGTCTGTAAACCTTGGGTAGTATCGAGTTGCCTGTTCCCAGGAGGCCAAGAGATTTCCAGGGCTAGGGATTCTGAAATGAACGTGGATGTACATAGAGGATACAGAACAAGCTGCAGAGAGGAATATGGCTGTTTCATAACTGGTGCGTAGTGCTACTGGCATGGTTACCTCACGATGAATTTTTAGGTCAAGATGACGAATGTATGACTTTCAAATGATGGTGCACGTCGGACTTAAGAATGATGATCCTTCTGGGTCAACCAAGATGGATGGTGTATTATTCATTGATTCGTATAATCTATCATTTTCCATTCTGGCTTGCAAGCCAGGCTTCGTGGGCCTTCTTCTGGCGCTCCCAGTCTTTCCGGAGCTTCTTGCTCTTACTCTTGGCGAGAGGCTCTCCCGCAGCATCTTTCGTGGGAATGCCGTCTTCATCCCAGGCGCTGTATTCGCTGGTGCGGAACATTTCCACGGGATTGAGCTTTCCTTTCTCGAGCCGTTCCTGGGCAAGCTTCTCTTGCTTCTCCTTCTCTTGCTGCTTCAACAAGGCTTTACGAGCTTGTTCCTCGCGGGCCTGCAGCATATCCTTGGTGACAGGACGGACGAGCGCGGGCTTGTTTTCGCGGTCTTCCAAGTAAATGCCCAGGTTGAAGAGATCGACATTACGCAAGCGATCGCAGAGAGAAAGTATGTCCTTGGAAGCCTGCTTGGAATCGTCCAAGCTTAGCGAGGCTAATTGAGAAGTGAAGTTATCCAGGACTTCGGAGTAGGGCTTGTCAGAGTCGGACACGGTTGCTTCCTTGGTAGCAGAAGCGTCCACAATATCCTTCACCTGCTCAGCGGTGATGGGAGTTCCAGACATGGCAGCTTGGCGCAGAGTGTCACGCATGGCGGACAGTGGGTAGAGGAAACGCTTGGCTGCTTCCGGAATGTCAGTACCTTCCCAGCCGATGCCACAGTTGTCAGGAGAGGCCGCGCCATTCAAGCCAAAGATAGTGACAATCTGGGTGACCCATGTACCCATGGATTCAACCACCTTGAGATCCAGGGTTTGGCTGTCAAGGGCGTTGAACGTCGTGACCAACTCAGAAATGGCGGCCATGACCTTGGGGGTGTCAAAGGAGTCACAGAAGTATTCGTGGACCTTCTCTTGTGTGGACTTGAGGGCCTGTGCCAAGGTCTCGGAGGAAGAAGTCGGCGCCTCGTCGGAGGACCGGAAGCTAGAGGGGTCCTTCGCTTTGACAAAGAAGTTGTTGAGCTTTTCTTCCCAAGAAGAGGCATTCTTGATGAGATCATCGGTGATCTCGACACCATCACGCCATCCACCAAGCAAGAAGACGATTCTCAAACTACGAGGGGTGTAGTCACCGCGTTCGAGAGCCTCCTTGACAGTGGTGAAGTTCTTCAAAGATTTCGACATCTTGGAACCCTGGATGGACAGGTGGCCCATATGCAGGAAGTAGTTGACCCACTGCTGCTTATGCTCGCACCAGTAGGCTTCACTCTGCGCAAGCTCGTTGTCGTGGTGAGGGAATGCAAGGTCAATACCACCGGAGTGGATATCAATCTGGCTACCAAGGCAGCTCGATGCCATTGCCGAGCACTCGATGTGCCAGCCTGGCCGTCCTTGACCCCACTTGCTTGACCAGCTGGGCTCACCCGGACGGGATGCCTTCCAGAGGGCAAAATCATCGGAGGACTTCTTCTCGGTTGCTCGCGACAGTGCGCCCTCACCGTCCCTCAGCAGAGGCTGGTTGTTGCGGTTCCAAGGCTCGAGTCGTGCATAGTGGTTTCCAGCTTCTTCGAATGCCTTGATGTCGAAGTAAACGGAGCCATCGGAAGTGACATAACCAAACTTGTTAGCAACGATCTTTTCGACGAAATCAGCGATCTGCTGGCCGTATTCCGTGACTCTGGTAACAGCATCAGGGTCGAGGACATTGAGATCACGCATATCCCTCATGAAGTGATCTTCGTACTTCTTCGTCAATTTCGTGAAGATCTCGTGCGCATCGCCAGGAATTGTAGACCCCTCCGTCACATCAAGATAGAAGCAAAAGACATCCTGCGCGGCGTCGTAGAAAGCCTTGCTGGAGGCAGCATCGATGCCCGAGAGCTTCTGGGCAGCCTCCGCAATCGCCGACGTCGTGGCTGTCACAGTCTTAATGTGCATCTTAATCTTGACCTCCACATCACCGGGCTTCTTGTCTGCCTCCAGGGCCCCTCCCTGCAGCACAACTCCATAGACCTTCTCGGCTTCCGCGACAAAGTTCTCGGGCTTGGTTTCGGGATCGACCAGGGGAAGGTTCTTCTTGATGTAGGCGCTGTATGCTTTGCGGGCGGTTTCGAGGACATCGGGCGTAACGGTGGGGTGCTCGGCAATGTACTTGTTGAACAAGTGCTGTTGTCTACCGCGCAGGATGATCTTGAAGCCAGAGTCAATCCTCGAGAAGCTATTGTATCGGCGGGGTAATGACACCTACCTTGTCATCGACATCGGTGATGTTCATGACAAACTCGACGTCGAACTTGAAGTAATCCCTGAGGATTCGACGCAGGATATCGGTGCTGACATAGTTTCTGGCATGACCCAGATGCGCATCGTCGTAGACTGTCGGACCGCAAGCGTACCACTTAACTTTCCGGCCTTTGGGGTCCAATGGCACAAAGGGCGTCTTAGATCTGGTGAGGGAGTTCCATACTTTGAGGGAGGGCAGACGAGTGTCGGGATGAGCAGGGGGTTGCTGCCAGGGAGGCTGTTGGCGACTCTCCATGATGGCCGAGCGAGAGAACCGGCGTGATGAAAAGAGCGACCGGCAAACGAGGGGTAATCGTGGTGGTGGCATAAAGTGTCTGGATGGTTACCCACCAGTTTTTCAGCAAATTATAACGACTTGCTTTGACGGTCTGCCACCGATTGGCTTCACCGCCGTCATCCCCGCTTTGGTCTGGGTCTCGTGACTGGCCATGACTCATTCAGGCACAGGCCATGATTGGTTTAGTTTGATCCCATCTACAGGCAATCTATACACATACTCACTCATTGCAATAGACAGACTAATATACACTCTCGAGCGATACAAATCAAAAGACTACTCAGAAGGGCGATACTCCATATACTCCCAGCACCTTTCCAACATCATCATCCCGCTCCCCTTTCACCACCGTCGCCACCCTCTCTCCTCCATCAGATGGTTCTGCAGCATTACGTCGTCGCAGTGATTCAGGGTCACCGGTGAGATTCGTGGCACACAGCCCTGGATCGGCTCCAAACACTTTAAAACCTTCATCTTTGAGGCGACACATATACAAGACCATCATCATGTTCAGTGCAGCCTTGCTGGCCCGATACTCCGTAGCACTGGCTATGTGAAAGGGAGATGACGGGTCTGCCGCACGACTAATGGAGCCTGTGCTCGAAGATACAAATACAAGACGTTTCTCAGATGAATTCCGAAGCAGGTCGAGAAATGCTTCTGTCGTGCTAAGTGCTCCGACCACGTTCACATCCAGGATCTGGCGCATAGCCTCTCGACTTGGCGGATGCTTCATCGAGCTCATGGCAGCATTGTTGACTAGGATGTCAAGTCGTCCATACTGAGCTTTGATCTCCGCAGCAGCAGCATCCACAGACTGATCGTCAGTTACGTCGATTTGAATTGGTGAGACACTGCCCTTGATACCGGGGACAGCCTGCAAGGTCTTAGCCGCCTCTTCACCCTTGACTGGGTCTCGCGAGCCTAAAATGACATGGTAGTTGTCGGAGAGGATCAGGTTCTTGGCCGTCTCGAATCCGATGCCCTGGTTTGCCCCTGGAGTTGTTAGTTGAAACCAATTGTTGGGCTGGAAGAAGTACCAGTGATCAGGACCAACTTTTGCTCAGCAGGCATGATTGGTACAGACTAATAGACATTCACGCAGGTTTAAGATGTTCTTGGGTGATTGCAACCACCGTCACGTTCAACACTATATACTGTGCAGTTCGGAAATATCAAGCCTTAACTCCGATCTACAGGAATGCCCATAACTCCGATAACACCGGCTTCGTCGCATTGAAGGATTCGGAGTTTGGAGAGCTGAGAGCTGCCTGCTCGGATTGTGGCTCACCTCAACGTATAAGGAAATAGGTTGCTGTGCGAGCAGAATTGATGAGATGGATCATCACGCTCTATAGTCACCATTCTGCTTCGGGATTTTTGCCTTGGCAGGAATTGGTATACCAATCGTGCCAATCATGCTTTGGTGCATCCCGGAGATCTTCAAGCCCATCAAGACCAATGGGATACTAGAGGGAGGGTATTAACCTCCTAATTGACCTGCGTCCCGATGACAGGGAGTGGACCTGGCATCACAGTGCATATGCTCGAAACCAGTCATGCCAGTCATACAGCAGCCACATGCTGAGTGTCGAGCAGGACAACATATAGTTGAGGGGGACGATGTGATTATCAAGCTCATGGCAGGGCTGACCTCTTATAACCCGACACATCCGACAAAAGCATAGGTCAGGCTTTATCCACATGATATACTATATAGACATGATCAGACTAGTACGTGCACTAGTCATGCCGTGAGGCTCTACTCTAGCGCATTGGTAATGATCTCGAAGGAGGCGATAGATATTGGCTGAGATCCACATGTGCACGGAGCTTCAATCGCGTTGTGCTCCATACTAGTCGACGAGAAAGCTTGTGCTATTCCTAGACATCTCCCCATTTCCGAGAATCAGTCGATATCAGCAGCTTACTAAATTGACCCGTATCCTAATAGTTATTTCTTCTACGGCTATCTAGCAACCTTGTTAGATAGATACCGGGATTCGGAAATATGAGACATCGTTCATACCGTGATGTTCGAGACATGCCCGTCTCATAGTGAAACTATTCGTCTCCAGACATCGCTGGATACAAGATGTTCTCTACGAAATACATAAATCTACATACAATGTCCACACCACTACGAAACCATCCATTTACCATGATACATGTACACTTACATCTCCCAACACAACTACTCAAACTAACTGAATCATCTCCCTCATGATGGTAAAATAAACTACCCTTTCAACCACCCTCTCTTCTTGGAAATCCTATAAATATCAACCATAAAAAATGATATACAAAGATGATAATCGCACACCGCTCCACGCCACCAGCATCGAAGAACAAAAGAACAACAAAAGAACAACCCACCCACCCCCACCGAGGTCTAGATCTAGACCCATCCTTCCATCATCAGTCTACTAGTCCCACCGTACCAACCACCATCAACCCCGATAAAGAAGAAAAAGAAACCAAGAAAGAGTTCAATAAGTCGATGCAATCATCCACAGCAAACAAGAAAACGAAACACAACAGGAATAGATTAATACTTAGTGTAGTGTAGCGTAGTACTTCTTTCACCGCTTAACCCAAAGCCACATCCTCCCGGCAAGGATGATATAATATACGTAGTAGCTATCTTGGAAATAGTAAGTAGTAAGTAGTAAGTAGGGGATATTAATTCCCAATCTAGTTGCTAAACTACGCAAGGTAGTCAGTCAACCGTTGTTGATCGGCTACAGACACCGACCCCGTGGGATAACGGTCAGTCATTCTATCATTCTTTTCTTTTCTTTCTTTTCCTTGTTTTTTTCAAACGGTCGCGAAAAGTTAAAGTCTAAGATAAAGAAAGATATTCCATATCGGTTTAAAATCCCTGAGTAATAACTAAAGTAATGGTGGGATATTCTATCCGCCGCGGGAATAATCCTACCTCCATCCCACTACTACTTACGGCATACATCCCAAAAAACCTGCTCTTCTCCAGACAACATCCATTCAACACGAATAGGAATATATCCCCACACCCACACACACTATTTACCCTTTGCACAATGAAAACCAGAGAAGAGGAAAATAAACCTTAGACCAACAGGCGTAACCATAACCAACGCTTCCCCTCGTGTGCCGCCGATCACACCAAGTAATGTAACTGTACAACCATAACTCCCTCCGTACAAGGAATTCATTCCCTCACCGCTAGTTCACGGCCCCCCCTCCCCTCTTCGGTAGTTAGTTAGTAGACTAGCGGGAACGGAAGGAAAAGAACAGGGAATGGGAAGGGAAGGGAAGGGAAGGATAAACGGTAAACGGTTGCCGTGACACACAGGTTTAATTCTCACATGCAATTAGCCGATGAGATGAGATGAAGAAGAAGAAGAAGCGGAGCGTGAGAAGGATGGAAGGCTGGAAGAGCTTCTGGAACGAGGGGATCCTTGTTTCTTTCATGAGGTGGACTATAGTATACGTATTCCCTAGATAAGGTAAGCAACAAAGTGTTGAAGGAATGAAAAATGAGGATTTATATTAATTATCTAATTGGTGGGATTATTTATCATCGGATATTGTCCGTCAGTTAGCTTTCATCCTCATCCTTATTCGCGTCCTTCATTATTTATCCATCCATTACCTAGTGAATACTACAGTACTCTTACTTACTGTGTAGTACTACCGACATCTCCCGATAACATTACTACTTACATTCCTTATGGATTATACTTCGTTACGAAGGAATGAACGAAATATATTCCTATCCCATCTACACGTGGACAGCACACCAACAAATATTTCCTAAGTAGTAAGTAGGTAATAAATATATCCTGCCGAAATCCCGACCGACCGGCGCAACAAGCGGCTTCCTGAATATTATCATCCTCTGATATTATCGTCTCCTATATTCCATCAGGATTCATCATCACGAAGTAGTAGTTAGCTAGCTAGCATGTGTCATGAAGAGTGAGTAAGTAAATAGTTCCTTTAACCGATCTACCCGGTCAGACAGACAGACAGACAGACAACACCCCCACTTGTTTCAAGGGTAGTAGCTTATCATAAATGGATGGATGATGGATGATGGAACGATGGAATGTTCGTTAGGCTTACTTTCTACTAACTAACTAACTAACTAATCTGCTCCTTATTTTTACTTTGGGTACCCAACCAACTAAGTAACCAACACTGCAGTGGTGGTGTCATATCTGAGACAATCTGAATAACAATAATAATAATAATATGGGTTAGGTAGTTAGTTATAATATGACAGGGATGGAAATAAATATTGATAATATTAATCCAACATAAAAATCAAATCAAGATATTAAAACCAGGAAAATACTAGATGATAGTATTTCTAATCAACCCACTGCGTGGAAACGTTCCAGAACACATACTACTTACTGGTTTGTTACTTCTCCGTGTCAATGTGAGATGAATATTATTTTTATTTTTATTTATATTTTTATTATCTTTATCGTCATCATGATGACGGGGATGTCCGGTTGTACGATAAGGCTTAAAGTAAGTATGTATGTATGTGCTTATCTAGAATCTCTAATCATTCATTGAGTCATTCAATGTTCGTTGTGATTTAAGAATAACTATCCAAATAGTTAAATATTTAATATTTATAGAATTTCCAAAGAAGTACTACATTCAATTGCTGTGTCACCACTTCCCATTCTAGATAGAGTAGCTCGGTGGTTACATGGGCCGACGGACGGTGGGTTTGTGGCTATTATCTTGTGCGAGTGTGAATATATTTATCGATTTGTAATGAGTGGGATGAAGTGGCTTATACTAGTATGTAGCATATTTACGGTGTACATGCCAAATCTGATTACGGAGTACTATGCCGTGGCTAATTATATCCATTTACTCTGACTGAATATAACCGAGATAGTAAACATGAAGATTACAGTCACAATCACGAGTATATCCTAACCGCCCTTGGCGTATTTGCCACCCCGAGGTAGTAGTAGCAGCAGCAGCAACAGCTGTCAAGATGATCGGTGTCAAGCGACGTGCCAGAAATATGGGGTAAATGTGGATGAATCCATGTCAACGTGTCCATCATCATCATCGTCATCATCATCACTCTCAATAAACACCGACCGCTATCATACCCGATGGAACCCTAGCATCATTTCCACAAGGCTGAAAGCATTACGAGGTCTCAGCAAACGAATCGAGCAAAAGAGTGATGCTTTCATCGCGGCTCTGCGATGAGGCTCCAATAATACGACTCCTACTCATGCTACTCATGCTCTCCGTGTAACACGCGAGTGATTACCTGCTGACCCGTACGGCCTTCCCCATCTGGGGATTGCAATCCGCGGCGTCTCCGCGTGTCCGTGTAGATGATCGTGAATGAAACGTCAGCGCAAGCACTGCCCGCCCGCACGTTGCACCGTCCAACCTCACTTTCGTAACCAGACGGAGTATAATGGCCTTGTCTACAGACACCCCGCGTAGGACGACTCCTGTAGAGATTAAGCGGTCGGTCGCTGCATGGAACAACGGAGCGCATGCCGATAATTGAACGCTATCGTAAGCTTGATAGTCGTGGTCAGATGGACATGAGAGAAAGGATAACTCTGGTGTCAACAGCAGTAAATGACGACGCCCACCAACAATAAACCTGCTTGAACTGCGAAGTTGCCGATTATGTCGTAGGTGGCGGGAATAGAACGAAACGAGTCAAGGCATAGTGACAGACTGACTCACAAAGCGCATGGACTCCGTGCCGTCATGTCGATATTGCGACGCCACACATATGATCGGTCTCCCCCCGTGCGAGCCACAGGTCGAGGATCAACCGGGGAAGTTGTTTCCGGACTGCTCAGAAAGACCCGTCGCAGGGTCGTGGATCCCCAAGCTGGGTAGCTCTAGTTGCCAAACCGGGAACCCAGTGCAGACGGAACCACAGCCAGGCATCCGTCTGCTACATCCGCTGCGAGGAGTACACCTTATTTCTCAATCCGTGCTCCGGAATCCGTTCCCCGTCCCAGAATGTGGGTGCAGCAAATGTGGTCCTCCCCGGACGGTGTGGTATGTGCTTTCTCCATCCCCAGATACTCCGGGGAGCAAGTGGTACCTTTAAACTCCGCGCAAGGCCGTGGGCGGGGCAGCCAGGGTGTGCGTTGTGAGGAGTCCAAGACCACGCTCCTGGATCTTCAGTCCTAGCTTCTAGTGCCTTTCCAATGTTTCATCCATAATTGAGGGATGGAGAGGGCACCCCCTTCCCCCGGTCGGCGTTGCAAAAGTCCCGATTCCCAATCAAGACGAAACCACCATGAATGGATGCATCAATTTTCAGATGCCTAAGGTAGTCCAATCCAAGCGCTAGATCGATAACAAACACCACAAAGATTGATTGTTTCGCCCGACCAACGAAACCGATGGCATGGCATCATGAGAACCAATAACGGGGGAAGCGGTGAATCACCGCTGTTTGGGAGCTTTGACAGTCCCTGCAGACGCAGTACCGCAGATTTAGCAAGGTGGTGGTAGTAGGAGGGAGGGAACAGTGCAAAACACCGCTCATGGAGGGGTAGCACCGAGGCATCACCACGTAAGCTGGGAGCATGCCTTGCATGACGAGCTGTGGGTGGGTGGAAAATGCAGGAGGGTATCCGGGATCATGGGATGGACGATGGACAAGGGGGTCAGCACCAATCAGTTGGATGGATCGCCTCGATCGGAAATGCATTTTGCATTTTGCAGTACCCAAAGTCGGGGACAGTCTGGAATGTTAGGCTTGCATACGCGGATGTACCTGGGTGGAGAACTGGCAAAGTAAGTCAATAAGTAAAGTACAGGTGTACCCCAGAGTGGGATCCGGAGTACTTCTGGTCAAGGAGACCAAAAAGTATTCGGGAATGTACTTATGTATGCAAGTGCATACGTAAGTAAGTAAGCTGTACACAATCTAGGAAATGTGCAGCTGGAGTGGAATGCACATGCACAGAGAGCTATGGAGAGATAGTCGTCATTGTCGTCATCATCCTCCTTCATCGAGATGATGATGATCCATTCACAGTGAGTGGATGTATCTTCAGGACCAGCTGAAGGTATCCAGTACTTTCCTGCTTGACTTCCATCCGCGGCGAACTACTGCAGCCACCGGGGCCGGGGGGAGATGTCTGGCTCACGGTGCACCTGAAGAACCTGCGATACTTTCCCCAAAAGCAAAAAGGGGGGGCAAAAGTTCCTCCCCATGCTCTCTCCAGTCCTGGTCCGGCAGTTTGTACCGCGGTTCCGCGGGTCTACCCGCGTCGTGTTCTCCAAAATAGTGCAGTTGATGAGTCTTAAAGGGCCGCGAGGGGGAGGAAATACGGAAGTACTTTAGGTTGGCGGGGAGCTCAGAAAGCTACCGGATTGGGAAGAGACGATCCTCTGATCCCAAAAGGGGAAAAAAATACTTTTTATTTATTTACTTCATCCCAAAAGGGACGATCGCTGGGGCGGTGGAGACCATCCAATCCAGCACGGCGGTTCGATCATTCATCGGAGGCGGGTTCCGCACTCCCGCGAGTGAAAGAAAAGCAGTTGTGCATGAGCAGACTATTGACTGAGTGACTGACTGATCGTGGACTATCATTGATTTACTTCTATCTGATCATTTGCCCCCGGGGAAATTAGGGCCGACGGTCTAGAGCCGTCGGCAAGGTTAAGTACCTTTTCATTTACCCGTCAGTCAGGTTCAAAGGAAATGGAAACCCACCCTCTTTAGCAACCGAGGTCTGGGCGCCGGCATCGGGTGTGTTGCTCCCAATCACCCGGTCGGGGCCATGTTACTCGTCAACTGACGGACTGACAGGCCAGGCTTTCTTGTCACAGTTCAATCAGTCCCGCTGGGCCGTTTCATTGTCCACCTGATAGCGCCAATCAGCACCGGTAGTACTAGCAGCAACAGTAGCAACCACCACAAGATGAAGCCATTCAAGACGGTCAAATAACTAGTGTGCTTGTGATGGCTTGTGATGGCTGGTGCCCGGTCGGTCAAAGCGTATGCTATTTCAGAAAGAAAGAACTGAATCACATCTTCATTATTAGTTAGGCGTTCTGGGCATGGTGTTGGTGTGCTCGTGATGATACTTTAGCATCGCACTCGTACTTTGTCTGGGATAATCAGTAGTTGTGTCGGTTTGATACTTTTCACACTGCATCATGTTTGTTAGTGTTAGTTGTGAAGCTGAACTGAGACAGACCATCAGCCAACGTAGTACTTCACACAAAGATAGGTAGGTAGGTAAGTTGTTAAGTGACTTGCTGGGATCATAATTTCGTGAAGTTCTTTGGCGGGCGCGACTACTAGTTTCAGGGGTACATATGCAAAGAAGTCTAGAATTAGATCATTCGTTCAAGTCCACTACAACGAGCGAAGTAGTGCAAAGTACACTGTATGAATTTAGTAGATGCATTGCATAGTGATTGATTGATCGCGACCCAGAATTGATAAAGCACACTCCGCTTGTTTGACATATATATATCTCTCTTTCAAACACATACTGCATGCCAGCATGTGTACTCCGTAGGTATGCACCGCATCGAGTCATTCATCCATTCATTCGTTGTTCATTAAAAATAGTACCACTAGTAAGTACTACTGCAGTAATCGATGCACTGCATACACAATGCCATCCATTCATCCATCCAGCCCCAACTCTGAAACACGCTGTTCCCCTGTACAACTAGTCAGTCATCAACAACAAAACACTCAGCTGATCACAGGATAGCCAGCGATCCAGCCCTGCGTGTGCCTTGACAGAATTAGACTACTACTACTACTACTACTACCTGAACAAAGGAAAGAAAATGCTAGTTGGTAATTAAGGAAGGGGTGGATAAATCCAAAGCCCCCCAGATGCCGAGGCACTATCCCGCCCGGCAAGGCTAAAAACTACCCGCCTAGATTAACCGTGCATTTCGCCTCTCGACTCTAACAAAGCACGACGGTCGGAGAAGTAGTAGTACTAGTGACTAGTGATCTTCATCAGCTAGGCTGGACTCACACAAAGAGTAAGATCATTCTTTTGCCTACTGTAGGTTAGGTGACTGTTGGATTTGAAAATGTAGTTATCCGAAAGAAGTATATTCCCGTTGTTGTTGTTGTTGTTGTTGATTTCTTTCACAGAGTTGCCTGGTCTGGCCACTTTTGGTGACTGGACGTGACTAGTTCGCGGGCTGAAACGGACAACTGCCGATGAGAGGGAGGAAAGGGAGGCATGGGGGGCCGTTACTGCTTCGCCTCCCCCAAACTTACTGGCTGTACAGGGGGCAGGGCAGAGCAAGGCAGGGCAGGACAGGGCAGACCGTGACAACTCAGACAGTGGATGGAATCTGGGGGTGGTGCGGCCCGTCAGATCAGATTGGGGGCAGGCAGACAGGCACTGCTGACTTTGATTCTATTGATGCCAGTACATTAGATAACCATTTACGAGACGAACTGTAAGTCCCTACGCGGGTCCGAAGGAGTAAGGATTACGGAGCGGATAAATGGGCTTGGCGGTGGTACACAACGTCCGGGGTAAAGAAGGGTGATAAGGTAAGTACTAGTTAGTATCTCGGTAGAAACGCGTGGGTCGCGGGGGTGGGTGGATTGTTGAACGGGGAACCACACGTCTATGTATTCTGGGTCGTCCCAGGGAACACAACTGTACCCCCGACACGAAACAACTTGACAGTAACGGATCCGGGGTCGGATCCGTGCAAGATAGGTTCCATGGTTGGGTTGTTGAATTAAGAGGAAATAAGAAGTTGTGCGTCGCCTATTGTTTAAGGGGATACTTACTGTAGGGTCTATCATTTTGTGAAGTGTATTGTAGAGTGTAGCGACTTTCCTATCGGGTTCTGATGGAGAAGTGGACATACACAGCCGGAGTAAGGTAGCAGGGCATAAGGGAATACCCGGGATCCACCGCGGATACCGCGCATGGATTAGGTACCCGACTTACTTACTTTGCTTCCCTGGGGGCGGCTATGTGGTACTGAATGACCCTCTATCGAATCACTTTATTTCCTTTTCCTTTGCTTGCTTATTTTTGCCTTTTGTTATTAAGTACTCTGGTATCGCGGCACGAGCTGATAACAATGATCAGATGTCGCAAAGAAAGAGGAAACCCAATCAATCCTCGTCTTGTTTGCCTCGAGAATCCAGCACTGCCAACAATCCCATGTCCATGTCCGTCTCAGCCAATTTCTGAGGCGCCCGCCCGGGTGTTTGCCTGCCTGACCGCCAGACCACCACCACTACCCCCAAGAAAGAACCCATGTTAGAAGGGTGTTGAAGGGGAGGGGAGGGGAGGGATGGGATGAGTTGTAAAACCAACGCGAGATGCAAAAAGCCTAAACGCATTTGAAACCATCTGAGTCACTTGGACCCCAAGCAGTGCCGGTGCTAACTAATTACTTACTATTTTACTTTTCCTTTTTACCCACATAGTACATGCCGACTACCGTTATCGCCAAATGTATATACATACTTGCATACTCATACAGACGGGCGGATGTATGTCGACATCCATCGGAAGCATGCAGTGGTGTTAGTTGCTGCGAAGATGCCAAACAACAGACTGAAGCGGTGAGGTCAGAGCGTGCTGATTCGGTCGCGGAATTAGGGGGGTGGTGATGCTGATGATGATGCTGTACATTGGCTGCAGGGAGGGGAAGGGGGGGATTGGTCTGAATGCTTCGTTGGACTGACCGACAGATGGCTGATAACCTGGTAAACTACACAGACCGCAAGAACCCGTTGCGAGATGCACGAGAACCCAACACCGCCTGTCGCATTGTGCTGAGGATATCGCGGATCAAAGCATTTTTTTTTTCTTGATTTTCGTGTCGGCTATTGTACTCCGTACTGGACTTACTCCTGGTGGTGTTTACGTAGCGGAGGAGACAGCAAGGCGGGGTTGTGAATAATCATTCAGTTGATTATCTTACGGTGTACAGCCTGCCTGCCAGGTTGGAAGTATGAAACATCCGCCCGAAAAATAATAATCAATAATGGGGGCAGACGGAGTAATTCACATTGAGGCGATGTTTCTCATTTAAATTAATATCGTCAGCCGCCGAAAAAACAACACCAAATAGAAGGATGGATGAACGATGAGCCCCCACTGTCAGTCAGTCACTTCGGTCGGGTATGGGGGAATATTTACCGGACCCGTATCATGTCAGCCTTTCGACTACTACTAAGACTACTAAGACTACTAAGATTATGATATTGTTAATGCAAGTATCTACAATGTAGTACCTACTACTCCGTACAGTGCACCCAGTTGTATATTCTCTAACCTGGTATTATTCTGCACTTGGCAAAATGCCAATAAATCTGGGGTCGGACGAACCAAAGAATCTGTTACGGAGGTGCCACTGATGGGAAGTCCGGAGTTGTGGGAGAAATCGGAGGGAGCAGTGGATTAAGTTGACTCATTCTATGACACTTGATCCATCCCCACGCCAGTTCCTTTACCCTTTTTCCCCTTCTTCCCTTTTCTCGCCCCCCAATCCGAAGCTCCCCGGGCCGCGGACCGGAGGAGCGAGCAAATCCGCCCAGAAATTAAATTAAAATGAAAGAACAAAAGGAAGCCGATAGATCCACGCTCTGGACCGGGGGTCTGGCTGTCAAATTAGGGTCGAATCCACCCGATGGGAATAAATCATAATAATAGATAAATATGTACCTTTAGTCCCTGGTCCGATGATGGGTTTCAGGAGTTCGTTGCTACATCGCACTGGACTGATCAACTCGAACATCTATCACTTTTGACAATAGTACCATTCACTACCACTACTATCTACTACCGACTACTGATCACAGTAAACAATACTAGTACTAAGCCACTTGGTACTTTCTACTGTGATTGACATACCGCCGCGACATCGCCGACATCATCAACATACCTCCACACATTTTCCACACCTATACATCCAACTTGTTTACCTACCTTATTACTCCAGTGGTAGTAGTAGTACTTACTCTCTCGTGTCCAACCACTTTGATTGCTGCTTCATCCATCGTACAGCGACCGGAACGCTCCTTCCGCCTGATCGCCGCGCTTGACACACAGGATTACCAGTGGATGCTTTGCTTTCAGGCCAGCATTGCGGAAAATTCCAAGTGATTTCTGGCCGCTTTGTCGGGCTGGTGACTGGTAATTCCCCAGTGGGGCGACGCGCTCAACCCAAACAAGGGAACTTCTTACTTTCGAAAAAAAAAAGAAATTCGATTTTCGATTTTTTGATTTTCTGATTTTCAGAAAATTGAATAAATCGAATTAAATAAATCCGAAGAGGGAAAAAAATCGGATTTGCTGCCAACCCCCCACTCCACACCTCCTTCTTCGTTCTCCACGACGCCTTATCTGTTGGGAGATGCAAGGGAGTCCAGACGCCTCCCCCGATCGATCTGGCCCTTCTTCCATTTATACATTCACCTCATTTTCCTCTCTCCGCCATTTGATCCACCGGTGGAGTGTTCCTTGATCAGCGTCAATCCCCAGATACTCCTCTCCAAGCTTATTTATTTATCTGACTTCCCACTCCTCCCCTCTCAACTCTTGGGTCTTGACCTCCCCAGACCGTGTCGATCTTCTTCACCTCCACTCATCAAACTACTGTCACAGAGCTAGTACTAGTAGTCATACTACTTATACTTCCTGCATCGCTCTGGACAACACCGAGATTCACTCCCATTACTATCACCTACTACACCTACTACCACCACTTACTACTACTGATAACACCTCTTCTCACCATGTATCCCTTTCTTCCCTGGAGTCAGAACCAGTCTAGTGTTCGCTCCTCTCTGAGCGAAGCCACCACTAGCACCCAGAATGTCTCCTTTAGTTTCAGCTTCGGCAGCTCTTGCTCACCTACTTCGATGCCGCCTCCCCCACCACCTTCTCCCACTGATTCCTTGCTCGACATCACTCCTCGCAAGTGCTCCTTTTCTAGCGGCTATGAGATGAACAACTCGTGCGCGTTCCCATCTTGGCCCAACCGCCCTTCTCTGCTGAGTGCAGACTCAGAGGGCTCCAGTGCCAGCGCCTACCTCTCCGACGAAGATCTCCTCCCCATCGGCTCTGGCTCCCCTTGCGAGAGCGCGATCGACGAAGAATCCGCCGCGCAGGACCCGACCATGGGTGACGTTGACCTGACCACCGAGCAGCAGATTCAGATGATTCGCGCCGCAGCAGAAGAAGAAGCGCAGCGCGCGCGTTTCCTTGCTCAGGTGCAGGCCCATGCGAGAGCACAGCAGGCCATGCGGGTGGCACAGATGGCAGCGGCAGAGCGCGAGAACGCAAAGCGCAAGAAGCGCAAGGCCATCCCCGAGAGGAAGCGGCGGACCGCATCAGCTTCGAAAGCCACCGTCTGCCGCGCCTAAGAGACACCGAAAAGGGTGTCATCTTCTCTTTACTTTTTCCCTTCGTTGTAACACCAATACGCCAAACCATCTACTTGCGCATGTCATGATACCCCACGACTTCGTCACCCCACGCCAACATTTTGGTCCGATTTAGCCGGAGATTAGGGTTGTCGAATGATCGACGCCGATCTGTCTCCAGCTCAGCTGTCCAGAAATGCGACCATCACGTCTATCTGGTTGCTTTACTTTTTACTTTTTTCTTCTTACAACCATCTTATCCTTATTCCCCTTTTTGGGAAGCCCCCGATCTGAGTGGTTGCCGCAAAAAGCAATCAGTCAAGGTCCCCGCCACAATGACACACTTCTGGCACTGATGCTTGTGAGGTCGAGACATCACAAGGCTCGGACTTTCAAAGAACAGGGCCATGAATTAGCATGATCGGGCATGGGACCGTGGGAATATGACGAAAGAGGGTGCACGTGCAACGAAGGGAGACGAAGCGAGGAGAGATAGTTGGTAGGCGCCGTAGCCGGGCGGAATTGGTAGGCCGAAGTTGCGTCTTCGCGGCCTCTGATTTGGTGCCCGAGCTTGGCTGCCTGATTACCTAATTTCCCTGTCGCAGCCGGCGCATTTGATGGAAATTGGGAGCATTCCCCTCTCTGGCTGCTGCTGCACGCTGGACAGGGCCCTCTGCTGCCTATCATTCTTCACAACCTCACCGCCATTGTCAGGGCACGCTCTGATCGCATTCCCTTCCCTACGGATGGTGACTCACTCCAATCATGCTGGCCCAAAGGGTCATGGCACGCGCTTGGATACTCGCTTCACGTTGCGCACTGTGTCTTTCCTTGCTTGTGGCTCTTTGTCTCTCCGGTTTCTTCTCTTTCCCCTCTTGTCCACCGGGTTTCTTTACTCTCTTAATTATTGTTCCGTTTCATGCGTTGTCGCGTCGGTGTTGGTGGTCATGGATTTTAGCAACATTTCGGGATACCAGACCCAGATTCCCCCTCAGCTGGGTTTCGTCAGTGGTTTTGCTTTTTCTTCTTTACTCGCGATTTCCGATCTAATTATTGCCCCTTTCTTTTGTCACTTTTCTCTTTTTGTTTTCAGCGTCGGATGTTCAGATACCCCGTCTTGTATGTCATCATGTTGTTTCCTGGCGCTTCCTTGTTTCGTTTTCCCCTTCATTCTCATACCCCGAGCGTGTCACACAGAACAGCTCCCGCGTTACTTTAGATGGATTGCATATTGCATAGCTCAGCGACATACCCCATTAATTTATGCAGCGATGGCCTTTGTTTCAATACTTGATTGCCTTCCTATTTCCTATTTAGTATGGTAATACTTAACTACAGTCACATCATGTGAATGAACGAATCAATGAACAATAACCACCGAAAATGAAGTGGTCTGATAACACAATAATTCTTTCCTACTATGTATAATAGATCCCATCCTATACCATCCTAGCTGTAATGATTACCAGACTATCCGACCCACGATCCCACCTGAACAGATGACACAATTACCTGCACGGCTATATCCGACGCAACTCCCATTAGTTCGACATCCTAGTGTAGAAGAGAGAAAGAGACTAGTAACTAGCGACTCCTGTAACAGACAGCTATTAGACTACATATCCCCGCCGTAGAGCAGACAAAAGCAAAGCAAAGTAAGACAAGGGAGTACATGCAGCAGCATTACTTACTTATTCTTTCTTCTTCTTGCTTTTTTTCATTTGCTTCTTTGAAGTCCATCCATCCATCCATCAGCCAGCCACCATCTATCTACCTAACCACACAATTGGTACCTACTTATCCTTTCATGGTACTAGTGCCAGAACAGGAGTAGTGTTGGATGCTTTGTTTTTATGTAAGGTACTTATGAAGACTATGGTCGATTGGTGATCTGTGGCTGAATGAAGAGTGTCAGTCAGTCATCACGAGACACTGTAGATGGAAGGAAACTATTGAATTCTGTGCCATTACCCCTCGGTTTTATGGCGGTGGTGGTGCTGATGTCAGGCAATTATTGATTGAGGGGTTTTGTTTCAGTTTGCTGGGTGTTGAGGGGCTTAGAGATTTGGAATGATACTATGGATTGGGAGGGTAAGTAGGATGATGAGATGGGGTGAGGATAGGATACTTAGGAGTGATAGTACATTACAGGATGAGGGTGAAGGTAAGGTACGTAAACTTACAGTGCTAGATAGAGATGAAGATGAAGGCATTAATTGGTTTAAGTAGTGTAAGTAATACAATACATCATCTATATAGTGATAATCCAACTAACCCATCTAAGCCATGTATAGGAATAATCAAACCGGAGTATTAGTTACGTGGTAGGTATACTACAACCCCTTCGCCAACAACTCCTCTCCCACCTCCTTGATCAACGGCTCCTTCGCTACACTCGGAACATTCTTCTTCGCAACTACCGTCTCTGCAATCCCCATGGCATTGCAGAGATCCACGACCGCGCTGTCCGGACTAGCTTCGTGGACGAGCAGTCCCAGAGCGAAGAGAAGCCCATGCAGGGCCTCCTGGCTCTCTTCTTCCTGGGTGATGGCTTCCACGAGTGACGCGGTCAGCTCGACCTGGTTTTCCTCGGACAGGGGGTCGGCGTGGCCGGCGAAGCGGGCGTTGTGGTTAAGCGCGGCGAGATTGTAGGCGAGGGAGGCGGCGACGACGCGGAGGTTAGTGTGGGAGTCGAGGAGGGAGGAGGTGGTGAGGTGGAGGAGGGTTGGGAGGAGATAAGAGGAGGAGGTAGTGAGTTGGTCGCGGTAGAGAGGGGTGGAGAAGAGGGTGCAGCAGAGTTGGAGCATGACGATGCGGAGGTTGTAGGGGCATTTGGACAGGCCAGCAGATGGGGATAAGAGGGTGAGGAGGGTCTTGTGGTCGGGCTCTTCGGCGAAGTAGCTGGATACGCGGGGGTCGAGGAAGAGTAGGCGGGTGAGGTCGACGAGAGCGAATAGGTGGTCTAAGGCTAGAGAGCCGTAGGTGGTTTGTAGATAGGTGGCGAAGGTTGGGAGGTCTTGGGGTAAGGGGGTGTCTGCTGCTGGGGTGGAAGAGGAGGTGCGGTGTTTCAGGTAGGTGATCATGGAGAGGAGGCGGGGGTCTTCGTGGTGAGGGCTGAGTTTCTGGACAAGCTTGTCAAGAGGGGGTACTTTCTTGTAGGTGACATAGTTGGAGATGGGGCGTTGGAGGCTAGGGAGACGGAGTTGCTGGTGACGATGGGGAGGATGGGCCATTTCCAGAAGGAGACGGACGTTGCCTCGTAGTTGGGCTGGGTTGGCGCCGGACCATTCATCGAGCTTCTGGCCCTTCAGGAAGGTCATGAAGGTTGGGGTTGCTCGGACGCTGTATTTCATGCTGACGTCCATGGCAGTACTGATGTCGACTTTGATGAGGGTGGCTTTGGCGCCTGCTTCCTCGGCGAGTTCGTCGTACGTCGGGTAGACCATTTTGCAGGGCGGACAGGTGGCCGAGGTGAAGAAGATGACGGCGCATGAGTCGGCGGCGGCAGCTAGGTGGTGCTCGAGCTGGGCGAGGTTGCTTGCGATGCGCACAGAACCTTGAGTAACGGGGGCAGGTTGCGCAGGGGCGGTTGGTGCGCTGGTGGAGGGCGTTTGAGTGCCGACTGTGCCAGTACCAGCGCCAGTGCCTTGGGTTACACCGCGCAGGGCCATTTCGATCTGGGGCTTCATCATTTGCCCAAAAGGGGTGCTCAGGAAGGTCTGCGGCAGATTTTGAATATGCTCAGGGATGCCTTTGCCGAGAGCAAACATGGCCAGATCCTGCGTGAAGTTGTTGCAGTTGTGCAGGAAGAGATCGTAGGACTGGACGGCCGGGTTAGAGAGATGACCGGGCTGGGGATCCGAGCTCTTACCTCAGGGGTGTAGATTTCCGCAAGCGACTGGATGTATTCCTCAATCACATCCATGGGGAGCTCGGTCTTGCCAAGATGCAGCTTCTCCATGGGCTGTCCATGATGAGTACTGCCGGGGACGGCCGTTTGGATGCCCTGGCCAAAGTAATACTCGACGCCGTTCAGCACCAGCGATGTGTGGTAGATGGCATCGATTTGCGTTCCCGTCAGGGCCAGCGAATACTAGACGAAGTTAGACACGAGGCGAGTCTGCCACATTCAATGCGTGTCTTACCATTCGCGCAAGACCCTGTTCCGCATTAGCCCATGACTCCTTGACTAAACATGTACACGTGAAGCTATGGAAATCACCTTGGATAGGTCATAGACATACAGCTCGACATCCATGACGACGGCTGCTGACACAGAGGTCTTCAAATCAACGCTACGAGGTATGAGAAAGCACCAGGAAGACTGAATCGCAACTCCGAAATTCCTGGGAAATGTAATCCTCGCCGGCGCAAACGCAGCTGAAGAAGTAACAAGAAGAACCTCCAGGCATCGCGGGGTTACGTCAGCAGCCCGCCGGCCATCACGAGATTAACTGCAATCGAAGACAATGGAAGCAACCCATCTTCTTCTCACCTCATCTTCCTCGGAGTCATCGACATCCCCATCCAGACTCCCAACGGCAGTGCGATGTAAATCGGCAAATCCCGATCCTTACCAGCCTACCAAATGTCCATGGCTCATCCGCCCCCGCGCCTTATCTCCAACCACCCTTTCCCTTGACATCATCGCAGTTTGCGACAGCTTAACAACTGCCTACACACTACCAAAGAGCATATATAACCAATCGGTACCATGGTAAGTCACCATTACTCTTATCGCATGTACGTACTCTCTCTCAATCAATGCGCTAATCACCACCACTACTCCCAGCCTCCCAAAAAGCGCAGCGCCCCAAGCAGCGGCCCCGCGCCCAAACGCGCACGCCAATCCAAACTCGCCAAAGAAAACGACATTAGCGCGTCGGAAGAGAACGAAATCAAAGAAGTATTCCACCTCTTCTCCGAGACCGTCGAGGAATTCGCAGATCAAAAGGAAGGCGTGATCCCACGCGGTGATGTGCGCAAAGCCTTAGTGTACGGTTCTCCTTCCCTAGACATCCACATTGCGACGAGAGAATAACTGACTCAGTGCAACAATAGAGCCCTCGGCCTTGACCCCACCGACAGCGAAGAACTCCACTCCATCATCTCGGCTGTCGACCCCACGGATACCGGGTACGTGCTGTACGAGCCGTTTCTGGCTGTCGCGGCGGCGAAGCTACGATCTAGGTCTGATGATGCGATGGCGGCGGAGGTGGATGCCGCGTATCGGTTGTTTACGAGGGGGTCGGGGGGATTGATTACGTTTAACCATTTGAAGAGGATTGCGCGCGAGTTGAAGGAGGATGATCTTGGGGATGAATTGTTGAAGGATATGATATTGGAGGCGAATGGTGGGGCTGGGGTGCATGCTGGGGTTACGTTGGAGCAGTTCCATGATGTTATGACTAGGGCTGGGGTGTTTTGATTGTCTTTTTGGTTTGCTTAGTTGGGGATATGGGATGGGATGGGTTGATACTTCAGCGGGCGTTGGGTATGTGATTATGCTGGTTACTGGGGTGTTATTTACTATCTGGGACAGGGTGTTGGGTCATACGGCATGCTTCTTGGGATTATACCGGATCGGTTATGGAGTGCCAAAAATAGTGTACTTTAGCTATAAAGCGATAATCAGATATCAAGTACATACAGTGTTATACAAAGCCGTGTTCAACGTCGTCTCGTCGATTATTCCAGAGCAAAACGTAGAGCAAACAGTCAAGAACATGTGGATAAACGCTTTCTAAAGAGTCGTACTCGGGGTATCATATAATGCTGATATACACAATCGGGCAGAGCAAGGTTGGGCAATCGAGACAGAAACGGTTCAGTCAACGTCGGACATAAGCAGGGACTTCTCAGACCGAGGTTCAACATTCAACGCCGTTGAGACGCTGGTCGCTTGCGATACATCGGATGTAGAGTCTCCTGTGGCAGCAGATGTTGTAGACATGGTCTCTGATGGCGTGCAGCTAGAAGAAGGTGCTGAACCCTCCTCTTCCGCCAAGCCAGAGTCCACGTCCTCTGCAGCCTCCGGGGAGTAGTCGTCAACTGCCTCGTAGAAGAGCATGAAGGCGCCTCCCTGAGACATGACGCTCGCTTCGCTGACCATCTGCACGTCTTCGTCACTTAGCCTGTACCAACGCTCGTCTCTCTCCTTGTCTCCATCTGCCTCGATAATTGCGTCCGGGACGTGGGCCGGAAAACTGTCGGTTGGATATTTTCTGTAACATATGTAATGGCCATTCTCATGACGGCCGTAATGAGTGATCACAGCACGCAACTGATAGTGACCGCCTGCAGTTGCGCCTCTTCCTGCATGCGAGAGCATGGATACGCTGGGATTGGTCTCCCAGGCTTCAAGATTTGGCTCCCCATTTTTGGGAACTCCGCCCAAGCACCATGGATTCAAGTTGAGGGCATTGGGAAACTTGACGGCTGCGTAATTCTTCCGGAGCATTCCTGTAGTTTCGTCGAACATGCTGCGGTTGATATGGATTACTAGGCACTGTGGGGGCCTGGCAACCACGGCCTGTCTTGATTTGGTCGTCGACACTCGATTTTTTCCGGGAATATGGCATTTCTGAGAGAGCGTCTTCTCTGCAAAGTCCTCCTCTCCCAACGCTTGCTCAACGGCCTGTAAGCGTTCCTGTGCGGAGCTTCGAAGCGCATCTGATATTTTCGGTGACTCCGGAGTAGCACTCGGAGTCTCCTCATCATCGCTGATTTGCTTCAGCAGGTTCAAGAGCTGAGACTGCACCCGCAACAAGGTGCACTTTGCGCATTCCACTCCCTCAATGGGCTCCAAATGCATGTAATGATGGAGACACTCTCGGAGGTCGTACTCAAACTTTGGACCGAGCGGGACAGTCAAGCAGTTGAAGGGAATGAGAGAGAGCCCTTCGGTCCAACCACACTGGATGCAGCCCACTCTTTGCGCAAGAAGACCTTCCAACGGATTCCGAAAGACCTGGTTTCCAGTTGACCGTGACTCCGCCCCACTTGTTTCTTGTAGCTCCTGTGACGAACCAGACCCAATCACATGTTCCTGCGGCCCTGCCATCTTCAGGCCCAAGTTGCGCGTGTGTCGCCGAGTCGCCTGCTGGACTTCCAGATCCAACTGATCAACAATCTTCGAGAAGTACTCTTGTGCATCCTGCTGCTGCCAGCTGCTCATCGATTTGAGATCCGCCGGGGTCCACAGACGTTGGCCATTGCTGTCTGCGCTATTGAGTCGCTCTATGATATCCTTCAAAGCTTGATGCGTGGACATAAGGGCTTTCTCTCCTAGCTGCTCAACATTCTGATCCAAAAACTTCTCCAACGACTGGAGAGATGCCAGTCCTTGTATGATGCTATTCTGATAGCACGAATTATCCCAGTTTCCGAGCCCTGGCGGTACGTTGTTCTTGCTGCTTAAGAGAGAGGTCCCGAAGCTCGAGAAAGCCGGGGCGCGAGGGAAGAGGGAGGAGAAGGAGGTATCGTCAAGGCCAAGTATCCGTTGCATCGCTTCACTCTTGGCCTCAAAGGTCATCGAAAGAGGGTTCTCGTCGGTTGTATCGGATTTCCGTGTCTGGGAATCCAGGGCGGCAATCAGTCGAGAAGGTGTCAAATGGACAAGTATATTCCAGGCTATCCGAGCCACCGACAACGAAGCTGGACCCCAATAGCTGATGGTAAAATATAGAGTGATGAGCGTCACTAATATAGAGGCAACTAAGGATGGATTGCCCTGCAGTTGCTGCAGTACTGTTTCATAGTTGCTGCGCTGCACGTTGAAGGGATTCGGAGTGAGGAAGTTAATCCCCTCTCTGCGAGCATTCATGGCTGATGAAAAGGAGGCAAAGTCCACGGCATAGGGACGAGGACATTGACATCACTTAGCAGAGCAGTTAAGAGGCGACGACCACGTCTGGCGAAGTGACGACTGGATCGACTTGAGCAGCCAGTGTTGCGTCGCAGAATAAGCAGCGGCCGAGTGCGCTCCAGGTGTCTTCCGCCACCCGGAAAGGTTTTATCGATAATGCCCGGCTCCACAACAAATTATTCACCTGCGGGCATGCAGGAAAATACCAATCTACAATTCCCCTGCATCAATCATGGCGAAATCTAGGCGTGAGTACAGCCATTCCTACAGGATTATTGCTTCAAAAATGCATGTTCAATGCTAACATAATGCCCCTGTCTAGCCCAGTCAAAACATTCCCGCGCTGCGAGGCGGGCAGCTTCCCCCAGTCTCGATGTCGACAAGTCCATCACATCTCTTCCGCGGGCCGAAGAAACTACAGTACAGCGGGATTCGATCCTATCGGAACGCGCCAATGCAGGCGTTTCGAAGAAAGCGTCAAAAGGCAAAGCTAAAACTAGAGCGCAGCGCTTGAGACAACAAAAGGGTGTGGAAAGAGCAGAGGCCGTGATGGACCAGCTGGAGAAGAAGGTCGTTAAAAGTGAGGGCCGCGCCAAATCCGTCAAGGCTCGTAGGGTAAGGACGCCAGACTTTCCATCATGATTGGTCAATATCTCTGACGAAATGAGTGTCTAGGCTGAATGGGAGGATCTGAACCGTAAAACGAAGTCAATGTTCGAAGCCCTCAACGAGGCCGACGATAACATGGACGATGCCATGATGGACGATGCTGCGGCTTCTAAGCCAGCGAAACGTTCGAAGCCGGCCCCTGTCACTCAGGCTCCCGTTGTGGAGGAACACGAAGGCATTGACGTGGACGATGATATCACCTGATGCGTGGACGTCTATCTTGCCAAGGAAATACCGCCATGGTTGCGCCAGCTATCTACTTCCGCGGTCTAAGCTGGTTGATCATCCGTTCGATCTCAACGGCGGCTGGTCCTGAAGCCCTCGCCTGGAGGAGCTCAAGGGCGTTGACATTCTTTGCCCTGAAGGCTTCTTCGCCGGCTTTCGCAATCATGCCGCATTTCACCCACATTTCCATCTTGTCCTCAGCCGGCAAATTGGTGCATTTGGGAACAAATAACGAAGCGAGCTTTGTATTTCCAGCTCCCAAAACCTCGTTATAAAATGGCTGTTATTTATCCGTGAGCATGCGGGCGCATATTCTGGGGTTGTTGGCCGACTTACCTCCCATCCAATCGGGGACTTTTTGTTTTTCCCGATTTCTTCCAGCTCACCCCAGTCACGCTTAGCTACCAAGGCCCTTAATCTCAACCACCAGAAAGTTTTCTCTGGCATCCTGAACTCGCTCTGTATCTTCTGTGCTCTTTTTCCGTAGCCTGATCTTATCAGTCTGTAGATTGTCTCATTCAAGCTTAAGCCAAGGAACTCTGAACGATCCGCAAGGTCCTTGTCGAGGGTCTCCTGGACCTTCAGCAACTGGGATGCTTCGTTTAGTAGTTTCTGCTGTAACACCACCGAAGGATCCTTGGAGTCTGACAGTAGTCGTGATGCGAGCTGGAGCTTCTCAGTCTTGCGCGGCAGGTCCGTTGCGTCCAACGCCTCGGAGAGAAGGACGTTGGAGCCATCAATAGGCCGATCATCTTGGTAGAAGAGGTCCTTCAACAACTCAGTGTCCTGTCCCCGGGCAGTCGTCTCCACAAGGGCAGACGCCATAGGGCGTGTGTTTATCGTTCTGAAGAAACTGGCAAGCGGTAGTTTAGTCTTGAGGTGCAGCAGGACGTAGTTTACTAGATCAACGTCTCCACTTTCGATGGCCTTATCCAAGGCAATCTCGTCTTCTTCCATGTCCAAGAGCAAGGGCACTTGCTTCCCAGCTCTTGGTTCGTGGTTCAGAAGCTGAGTTGCCAAGTGAGCACGTCCTTCATCGTAAGCTGTTTGCGCGATCAACTCAAAGGATATGCCTGGCTTGCCTTCCAGTCGCTGGACGATGAGCTTGCAGAGGGCATCATCATCCACCGTGGAGACTTTGACCTTTTGGCTTGCCCAGTGAACGTATATCCTATCGGCAGGAAGCTCGAGGTATTCAGAGATGCGAATTGCAAGGAGGTATTCATGTCTGTTTACCAACCGCTCAATGAGCCTTTCAGGAGTAAGGCGCATGTATTGCTCATAGGAAAGCGGCAGTCCTATCTGGTAGTCTCGCACTGCTTTCAGCACCCGGAGTTTCTCAGTCATTTCGACAAATTCATCGCTGTTGTACAAGTCAAGAACAGATTTTCCGAACGAGGCTGCCTTTAACAAGCGCTTCTGCCAATATGTGTCAAACTCATGACCAGCAGCTTTGACACAAGTGTCAACCGCCTCGGGCAAACTTGGCCGGATGCGTTGGATGTTCTCGTCGGCTTTGGGCGACTTCTTCTCCAGAAGGTCTATAGAGTCCAGGAGGACTGAGGCGGGTGACGTAGATCCGAGCCGGAAGATCGCCTCGGTGACATCTTGCAGACCATCAGATGTTTGTTCCTAGACTAAACGAGGATTACTTACCAACAACTTTGTGCAAGAACTCGCAGGTATCGTTGGTAATTAAACGCACACCGTCAAACTCAGGCACGACATGGACAGTGCCGTCATAGTAATATCTCGCTGCAACGCCATTAGGCCCGATGAGATGTACCTCGTCTTCCCATGCGATGACAACGGCATCATCTCCGCACCAGTCGACTGTCCGAGGAGTGACTCGCGATTCTGGGTCATATTCGCTGTACTTGCTTTGGAAGTCACTGCTGACTACCCATACCTTGCCCTCAGCGGTGATTAGAGCAACGAATCTTCCGGTTGGCGACACGCTTGCATGCTTGAACGGCCCATTCTGGAGGACTTTGTCTTCGGCTTCCGTGGGGTCGACCAAGTAGACTGTCTTGTCAACGGCAAGCAGGACTTCAACTGAGCGAGACAGCGTATAAGCCGGAGGTATCAGTGACCACGACGAGACTTCTCCTTCTGGGCAAGGAGCTAGGAGCCTAGGCCGCGGCTCGTCGTAATTCGACACTGCAACCAGTTGGTTGTTTGAAAGCAGGGCAACAAAGCCGGAGGTCCAAAATCGGCAAGCCCTCACACCGTAGTCTTCAGCTCCCTAAGCGGAAGTCAGTTTCAGCAGACAGCACGTGGAAGGGAGTGTTACATTTCCCAAGGAAAATGAGGTGAAGTCGCCGTGTAGGCCAAAATAGCGTCTGACAGTGCCGTCTTCCGTGATCACCAGGAGTTCTTCCTTGTCGGACCAGCCGAGACCGCGAATCGTGCCGTATTCCCACTACAAACGTTAGAACGTGCCCACGTGGAGCCAATACCTGACTGACATTGATTCGATTGATGTGCTTCCCCGAGCATGAGTAAATGTCAATGCTCGACTTGGCGGTCTGAGCATCACGGAACCTGTACGGTTTGCTCTCATCGCGGTGCAGTGCTGAAAATATATCAGCATGTTTAGAAACAGATATATTGCAACCATTGCACATACCAATAGCCCCTCCATAGGGAGCGCCAGCGATGATGTAGTTCTCTAATTCGACATCATCGTCGAAGATGGCATCGTATATGGGGACCTTCCGGTAGAAGCTATCTCCTAGTCTCTCCCAATTGGCCAGAGGATTTGACGGCGCCATTGACACCGAGCAATGTCATGTATAGATGGGAAGCGTTACAGATCCGATAGAGATAGTGCTGGGACAAGACCCTCCAGCCGGATGTTGTTGTCTATCGGGAAGCTCCTGGAGCTCACATGCGGACGGGTCTCCGGCACTAACCGCATTGGGATATAGTGCCTGAGGTGGCTGGACCATGTATCGCGCGGGTAATTATTCATGGACTATCCCAGCTGCCATTATGACTGTCAATTGCGAGAGAGTACCATCATGGAGGATGGCTCGGAAATTTCAAGACTCGCCCCGGAATTATCTGATCTTGAAGTAGCTCTTTTTCTTTGTCTTGCGGCACACCAACACTGTCGCATTGACACCACCGACGCTATTATCCATGACGTCGCAAAGGAGCTCGCCCTGGTAATTCAGAATCTCATGATATGGTCTACGATATTACTAATGCCTCCCTGGTCTAGATATGCACGAATACATTTGGGCTTTATTATAGCATTCTTGATTGCTCTAGTGCTACATCTTTAGAAGACTTTCGTGCTGAGTTACTTCCTCCCGGGCTTTATAGGAGCAGTTATGCTCGGCCTTCGCGCTCCCGAATGACCACTGAGTCTGTATGTCAAGTTGACTGTTTTGTTCGACTTTATTGCTAGGCTAATAAGATAAGGCGGGCACGATATCCTCATATCATGACTTGCGGGATCACAAAGGCCGCCTCAAGTCAGCCCCTATCGAGCACAAGCAGGAAGTCGTCAATGTTGTGATAGCCAAGCACTTCAACCATGTGGACGACAATATCCAGCGCGAAGCTCTCGAGGTAAACAAGATTACCTCTAAGTATTTATGAGATATTGACTGGTTCACACAGTTAATGCACTCGAAACAACTCACCACACCGGCAGGAATCTTAAAAGTCCCAACCTATTTTCTGTTCCTACCTCTTATAGTGCGCGATGAAACCCCACCATTAAACTCTCATCTAGTATGTCTGCCACCGGGATATTTCCATCACTCAGTGAACTGACCTCACTTAGAACGACTACCTGTTCATCTCTCATTTTCACGACACAGAAGATGGCTACGTCTACCTCGAAGAAAGCAACGACTGGCTCTCCGATGGCCAGCTGTCCGCATCATCCGTTATCCACAAGCCAGAAGCTCAAACGAAAAAAGGCCATCCTCATGTAGACAGCACAGTTTGTCTCCCTTCTACCTTTGTCATCGGACCAAACCCACTAACAAGAGCATAACAACCAGCTCCTTGAACAACTACAACAACTAAGCACCACCGTCAGCATGGGCGCCGAAATAGCCCGGTACCAACAAGATATAGTTGTGTTCCTTCGGCTCAGTCGCGCAGTAGCTGGGGGGATATCAACGCGGTCAAACCTCTATTTCAAGTCATTCTCAAAGTGAGATCATCCAATCCATACCCTGCATGCCAAAAGAAAGCACTGATTTCAACGCAGACTCCTCGCCGTGTTACACGGCATCGACTTCCTCACGCCCTCAATCGTAGCACTAGCAGCCAGGAAGGTCTTTCGACATCGGATCATTATGGCCAAACCCGAAGAGGATAGAAGCCTACAATACGGGAGTGACTTGCACGCTGTGTCGCAGGTGCTTGAGTACGCGAATCCGGATTCAATATTGGACGGGGTGCTTACACTAGAAGCACCATTGTGATATAACAATCATGTATATAATCAAATGCAGATCTTACCATCCCTCAGACTGGCAGTGACAGGCTTCAATAAGTGGAATGATGGCTATACTTGACGAATTAGATGAAGTACTATAAATGGGTATATTGCAACACGAAAGATCCAGCAAGGGATCAATTCCCCGATAAGCGTCGAAGCCAAGCTGGATAAATAATTATACATCTAACCCCCTATATAAAACCATAGTAGTAAAACACACTACAACAACTTCTCCACCCCCTCAATAACATCCTTCAACAAATCAAAAACCCCATCGAGAATCGTCCCCAACAACCCCGTCGCAAAGCTCAACACACACTCCAACGTATCCACCAACTGATCCAAAACATCAGTCAAAGTGCAAGAGCCATCATCATCATCATCTCTCTTCACGCTGCTGCCCTTCACCAGCACATTCCGGGGCGCCAGCACCGCATCACTCGAGCAGTTACTCAACCGGCCGTAGATCTTCTCCTGGGAGGAGAGAAGCAGAGCCCTAACGCCTTCAATCCTCTCGACTGCAGCGGAGGAGGAGGAGGAGGTAGTGTTGGTGACGGTGATGGTGGTTCCGTTGGCGAGGGTGGTGGTTGTTGTGGTGACGGCTGTTTGGGATTGGGAGGCGTGCACAGAGGAGAATTTTTCCAGGAGTGGGTGGACGCGGTGGACGGTTTGGTTGAGGCGGTTGAGGTTTTGGCAGTTTTGGAAGGTCGAGGTGAAGGCTGCTGTGAGGGGGAGGAGGAAGGTGGTGAGGGTGAGGAGGAGGGGGAGGAGGTTCATTTTGATGTGAGTATAAGATTTGTGGTTTGGGATTGTTTAGTTGATGATGAAATTTTGTTGTTTGGGTATTTGAGGGGTCTCGTGGTGGCTTTTATATGTATGGTTCATTTCATGTTCATGATATTGAGGGTATGCACAGAAAGTGGAGCTATTTCGGAATGTACAAAAAAAGAAACTATAGACTTGATATGTCGACGACGTCGGATTGGTCCAGCAATGATCCGAATTACTTAATGGAGATATCCCCTGACGATCGCAAGGATGAAAAATATCCTCCTAGATAATCAGTCGCATGCTTGACAGGCTGATAGGGCGTCGATCTCTTGTAACCGAGATGGTCTAAGGTGATAGTTCCCTGTTAGTGACGCTAGATCTGCTTGATCTCCACAACGCCCAGTTTCCGGGAAACCATCACAATCAGAAATAGCTAGCTAGCTAGCTACTTATCGCCCGGATGGTCTCGCACGATGCTTGAGGAACATATCAGGCGGCATGAATTTCTGCTCCTTAACCTCCTCTTCCACAACCAGACCGTTGCCGAGATGTTGATCGCCATTATCGGTCGCCGAGCTCGACTCGAGCGACGCCATCAGTCGGCGCCATTCGGCCAGTACGACTTCAATTTCGGTCTTGGCGTCGCCGACAATGGCATCCATCTTGATGTCATTGCGGTCGTACCCGAAGGGGTCTTCTAATTGCGAGCCGATGCCTTCAATGCCATACAGGGTGAAGATGACCAGGCTGACCATGGGAACGGTCCACCACCCCATATCGTCGACCATACCGAAGGGTAAGACACAGCCAAAGAGAGCGAGAACTTGTTTTTGGTGGATCCTTTCACATGTGAGCTGGCGTGGAGAGATAAAGGGGTGGTTCAAGTTGATGGAACTTACAAGTGCGCAACCGGAATAGGAGTCAGCTTGATGGTCTCCATTCTGCCATAAGCATCCATCAATGAATTCAACTGAGCCTGCATTTGACTCGCCCCAGGAGCGTTGAACCAGCCGCGCTCCACTCCCCTCTTGATAAACCCATCCACGAAGAAGGTTAGTTGAAACGGTAACCCCAGCCCCTCATCCTCGTGGCCCACCAGTCCAGCTGGAAGGAGACTTGCATAATCGGGGTTAAACGCTGCGACACCGTTCTCGGCTACATCATTTCCTAGAGCCCACGCCGCTCCCCATTCAGCCCGAAGATGGTTTTTGACTGCAAAGGGAATCGACATGAGGATCCGTATCGTCCGCTCGATGTCCTCTTTCTCCGCGGCAGTGGGAGGACCTGCGGTGCTGTAGCCGTTTGTGACAATGGTCCTGACTAGGTTGCGAATGCACGTATAGATTGTGTTCATTCCATTACGCCCATCCCAGAACCGGTTGTAAGAGGTTTGGTTGCGGAAAACGAGCATCAAACCCACGACTATAGATAAGGATGGGATCTACGGTTGCATAATCAGATCTGGAAACGCGATAACATGCATGTGAGTGGGACCTACAATACTGCTCGGTAGTCCAACCGTATCAAAGACATAGATATCGAGGTAGACCACAAAGGCTGTGAACGCGGCGTGCAGGAAGACGGGCAGCAGAATGGCCGCGTGGATAGCGCCTTTGATGAATCGGAACACCAGAGGCCATCTGATATGGCGCGTATTCAGCATAATATTATAGTAAGGTGCAAACTTGTGAGCGATTAATGTTGTTTACCTTCGGGGCTTGCTCCGACTCGTCAGGAGATGCGGATGGGTCCCAGCGCGATAGTGATGCGCATTGTTCAGGAACGTGGTATTCTGCCGACTCAACGCCGGTGTCGGGGGTTGACTGAAATTCAATCGCATGTTTGCCTCCAATTCAATCTGACTGAGGGAGGAGAGACACAGAAATAGAAGAGGTGGTCTTTGTACACAGCGTGAAAGAATTTGCGTCTAGCGGTCAACAGCCCGTCCGCTTTGTCAAACTTGGGTTAGTTGCTTAGTCGAGGTGGAACGATAGGGCGAGTCGGCGTTGGTGAAAGGACTCTCCTGATTTAGTGCGCTTGTCCAGCGAGCCATATCATATGAGACTCTTGGGAATTGGGACGAGATAAGGAGTGGCATCATCGTGCAGAAAATAGGGACAACTCGCGGGGGATCAACCAGCGGCCGGATGTTGTGGTTGGTGAATCCATCTTCACGGGGCTGCCTCGCCCAGAACTCTATTTCCTCACAACACTCCTGTCAACCAGTTGACTTCCACGTACTTGGACCTGGTTTGGCCACGATGAAACATTCAACTCGGATACCTTGGGAAAGTGGAATCCAGATAGATCATAGAGGGCTGCGAATGCATCATGTGCGGTAAGTGATGATAAGCAGTCGATACATATTTTCTCGGATAACCTGGGATTCGCAGTCAACAGCACAATCAGGACTACGTACTACGTGAAAAACACAACTTCGAACTTCTTCAGTCTTAACTTTATTATTATTCAAGTCAGCCTACTCATAGGCAATTATGTTTCGGCGCCTTTGGAGTGGCACAGAATTAGTTCTGCTTGCGACTATCTACTAGCGGGAGCCGATCGCCTCGTTACAGTTCGTTGGCTTGCCGCCTGGCAGCTAGCCAAAGGATCTGAGATGAAACCAAAGTCGCTCGCTATTTTTCAGCATATGTGTCTCGCTCCTCTGAATGACCGGTTGCTATCTGAAAAGCTGTTTAGCGGAGATCCAGACATGTTTGGCCTTCTCGCTCACCCTCTCGCTCAAGCGACAGGGTCGGCTTCACGTCGAATATGACTATGATCCAAATGGTTCGTGCATTGCTAGTCTAACACATTCTATGGGCTCTGTCGTTTATTGGTGCATCGAAGCGCGCGCAAACCACCATTGCGAGGCTGAACTGGATTCTCTTTCCTCCCCGCACTTCAGACCTCGCAGATTTTCGTAGACGCCGAGAAGTTCGGGTTCTCTCTCTTAGTTGATTGAAGAAGAGATATGGTGTCTAATCCCCCAAAACTGCGGCTCTATAAAGAAGCATACACGGTCGCATTAATATGTCCCCTAGAGGTTGAAGTAAGTGCGGCTCGATACATGCTTGACGAAGAGCATGGAATGCTTCTGGGAAACAGAAAAGATCCGAACATATACATACTTGGATCCTTGAGTGGGCACAATGTTGTGCTCGCAGCACTCCCAAAGGGGTCACAGGGAACGGCATCCGCGGCGGCCGTGGCCATCCACCTAATTCGCACTTTCCCGGCAATCAAGCTTCGTTTGCTGGTAGGCATAGGTGGTGGCATTCCTAGCCTTGCTAACGATATTCGTCTTGGGGATGTGGTTGTTAGCGCTCCTGACGGACTTGTTGGAGGTGTAGTCGAATATGATTTCGGTAAAGAAACCACAAACGGGTTCAAGAGGAAGGGTGTACTGTGTCCTCCGCCTGCTGAGTGGAGAAAGACTATGGCAAACATGACCTCAGACCACCAAGTCCGAGCAAATCGGATTGCAACGTTTCTGTCGGATATGCTGCGCAGATATCCCACATTAACAGAGTATCAAAGACCGCTGCCGGAGACCGATATTTTGTTCCCAGCGGACTATATCCACGCTCAGGAAGGGCAAAGCTGCGTCTCTTGTGACGCAACCAGGGCCGTGAGACGAACTCCGCGAACACTGCCTCACGAGTCACGCGTCTTCTATGGCATTATAGCGTCAGGAAACCGTGTCATCAAAGATGGAACAAAGCGGGACATCATAGCAAGAGAATCAGGTGGCGCGATGTGTTGTGAGATGGAGGCTGCCGGACTTATGGACCAATTCCAATGCGTTGTCATTCGTGGAATTTCCGATTATTGTGACTCTCACAAAAATGATGACTGGCATGCTTATGCTGCCGGCGCAGCTGCAGCCTTAGCGAAGGAAGCCCTGATGTACATGGAGCCTCACTGTATGTGCTCAATAATAGCTCTTGCGTTGGTAATGGAATATAATAACATTGTAATAGATACTCCACCGTGCGCAGAACATACATCAGAGTGGAAAGTCAACGTCCTCAAGCAGCTGTATACCTGCAACTACCGAGACGCTAAGGATAGGAACCCACAACGAGTTGAGGGAACTTGTCAGTGGTTCATCCAACACCACCTCTTCGAAGATTGGAGAGAAGATCATGGGCCGGGCCTTCTCTGGGTTTCAGCCGATCCTGGCTGTGGAAAATCCGTCCTGGCCAGATATCTTTTAGATGAAGTTCTGCTTAGTTCAATGACAAGTGTGGTCTGCTACTTCTTCTTCAAGGAGGATTTCGAGAATCGGAAATCCCTTGTGGATGCTTTATGCTGCATTCTCCATCAGATCTTCGAGCAAAGACCGCACCTGCTTTCCGACCGTTTCCGATCCAGGTTCGAAAGTGAGACTGGTCACATATATCAATCGGTCTGGAGCTTGTGGTCTATTCTTTGCGATCTGGCGGAGGAGCTCCCAGCTGGGCAAGTGATTTGTGTTCTGGATGCCGTGGATGAATGTGGGTGCGACGGACAATCACAACTGGCTGAGTGTTTGACCAACCTCTACCAAGGCACAACGGCGTCTTCGAAATTGAGATTTCTCATCACCAGTCGACCATATAGCGCTATTCAGAGAAGGTTTCAGTCTCTAGAGAGTAACTTCCCAGCCATTCACCTACGTGGAGAAGATAACGATGAGGTACAGAAGATAGCGGGAGAGATCAATATGGTCATAGAGCATCGAGCAGAGGAGCTTGCAGAAAGGCTACAACTTCTGGCAGACGAGCGCAATCTTCTTGTCTCTGAGCTGACCTCCGTTCAAAATCGAACATATCTGTGGATCGATCACATCATGAGTACCTTAGACGATATATTGACGGTCACTCCCACTAGTATACGTGCAGCGATCAGAAGACTACCGCGCTCCCTTGACGAAGCTTACGATCAGATATTACGCCGCACTCCAGACCCCGATCGGGCGATGAAAATATTACATATGGTCGTTGCCGCAAATACACCTCTGACGGTGGCGGATATGGCTACTGCAGTGGCTGTATTAGACCGGAAATCACCCGAAGACCAGCTTGAGATTGAGCCAGAACATCGAACAAAACGGTCAATCAGGGAAATATGTGGTCTGTTCATCACTATCATCGACTCAAGAATATACCTCCTACACGAGACCGCGAGAGACTTTCTGGTGTATAGGGAAGGTAAAAGTGAGCCGATTTCGGACCTTACGTGGAAAGCTTCGTTGAATCCGCATGATTCAGAATGGATATTGGCGAAGGCTTGTGTGGGTTTTCTCCATACTACAGATCCACAGATGGCCTCAAAAGACCAAAGGAACCTTACAGTGGAGTTCAATAGAACTCCCTTCCTTGAATATGCCGTCAAAAACTGGAGCAAGCATGTCTTATCCTCTGGTATCGAAGAGGACCCATCGACACATTCACAAATAATGGACATCATTCGCCGCGGTGAGGCCTTCTGTCTTGGGTTCAATAACGAGCCAGCATCTATACATCAGTTGACTCCCTCAACCGCTCTGATGCGAGCATCATGGCTGGGATTACGTCGCACCGTTCAAACGCTACTACAAGACAAAGATATCGATTTGAATCATAGGAGCACCTATGGTCGTTTGGCCTTATCACTCGCAGCAGAGTATGGGAGACATAACGTGCTGGAACTCCTGCTCAGACAGTCTTGGTCTTTCCCCTTCTTATTCCGAACAACACGGTGGATTGATGTGAATGAAGTGGACAATAGTGGGCTATCGCCACTCGCATATGCAGCATATCATGGTAACGAGAGTATTGTCAGCCTCCTGCTTAGCAAGCAAGGGATTCGCCCCGACATGCGGACCTTTAGTGGAATAAAAACGCCCTTCGGGTATGCAGCCGGATGTGGCCATCTCAATATCATCAAGATGCTTCTTGCTATCGGTAAGGTTGATCCAGATGCCGTGGATTATGCTGGGCTTACACCCATTGTCTATGCAGCAGATGCTCAGCATGAAGATGTTGTCACTTTCTTACTGAACACCGGGAGAGTTGATCCCAATCGAAAAGATACTAGAGGTATGACTGTACTGTCACGAGCAGCACACCGTGGCCACGGAAGTATTGTTCGGATACTGCTCGACTTTGGAGTCAAAGACCTTGACTCTAGGGACAAGTTTGGACGCACTCCACTACTGCATGCTGCACTCACGGGACATGAGAATATTGTCAAGTCACTCCTGAGTACCGGGATACCTGACCCGAACTGTCGGGATGCCAGTGGTAAGACGCCGCTCGCGCAGGCCTCGTATCATGGCCATGATGTGACAGTCGGGCTACTACTTGAGAACGATGAGGTAGATCCTGATATACAGGACAACCATGGCAAGACACCACTGGCTCTTGCCTGCCAGGAAGGCCATAAAAGCATCGTTGCACTACTGCTCAAGACCGGCAGAGTGAACCCAAATTCAAGGGACCACTATGGCACAAATCCGCTTACACATGCCACGGAGTGTGGAAACGAGGGCATCATTAAACTCATTTCGGACGCCATTAACAGTCGGGACAGTGAAAGTAGTCCGAACACCTCTTCCAGATCTTCACTGCAGCTAGACGCAGCGCCTGAGTTCCAGCCAGCGATTGACGCGTCCATGGTAGATGTCAAGCGAAACCATCAAATTTCCTGGGTACGGCCAAGAACTATTCTATATCCGAGATGGCTGCAGAACCAAACAGTCATTCCATACAAGGGTGGCTGGTTGTCCCGGTGACACTCCACCTCATTTAGCAGCACCGTTGGGAAATCTTCACCTAATTCCGAAAATCAATTACCTACATTGCTGGCGGCGCAGCATTCAAGGTCTTGGTTTTGATACTGTAGTGACCGAGAGCTAGGATGCCTAAGCCTGTTTGTAAGAGACAGTCCCTATTCTAGGTCGGACTGAATGACGAATATCTACACGGAGGTGCATGCTGCTAAGAGCTAGACCGTTCTGCCAACCTGCTAGCGATGCAAGCCACTCACAACTGTACACTCCACTGGACGGGCGGGTGTAGATCTGACAGCCGCTTACGTCTCCAGCCTTCCAAGGATTCACCCAGTGTTGTCAGCAAAGCAATTTCAGGAACAGGACAAAGAGCTCTTCGACATCCCGTCCAAACTAGACCGAGCTGCTAAAGTAGGAATATCGTCAACGTGCACAGCACTCTGGGGAGCTTGATTCATGCAGATTGCATCATGCATGGTGAGACCTTGGCAAACGAATAGTATCAAAACGGCAGTGATATGCTTCCGCCCACGGAACAGATTGTCATTATCTGGATCGGGTCAATCCGTGATGTAAGCCGGCAGGAGCCCGAACTATAGGATTCTCTATCGCTACACCCGCCGTATACGAGACCGCGCCACCAGATATTTCTGGGATACACGGCTCCTCTATACTCGGAGGTAATACAGTGCAGTAGGCTAGTGCGGATACTAAAATAATCCTAAAGAATAAGGTGTGCAGCTCAATCTGGCATGCCACAGGGAGGGGGAAGACCGATCCCCATTCGATCGGAGGCACCATCTGGGCCCGCAACAAGTGGATTCGTGTGAGTGGGTCTTGCTCACCCCTGATCCCCGCAACTCACATCTGCAGCCAATAACTACTATGCATGCAGGCTTGGCCGACGACATCGACACACTGGCTGAGGTCATCATCCGCCGTGAATTGCTGACTTATCTTCACTGATGCACATCTCCAACAACCCCAGACTTGGCCAGAAGGCAGTAACTGGCTGGACACGCTGGTAGGAGACAAAAATAGACGGCCTCTTAATCTGGCCTTACACAAAGATGCGGAGCCACTCACCACTCAATGTCCCGCCTAGGAACGATCGACATCCGTGGAAGCTATTCCCTGCCGCTTTCGATGCTGCTAAACAGCGGACAATGACAAAGACCATATTCATCGCTGCTTTAGGGCTGAGAAACATGAGCACATCTCAACGTCATCCTACCAGCCCACCATTGCGAAGGAGGTGAACTCAATCAATCGTTCATTCAACCGCCATCAAGTCACTTTGCCGGACCAGGGCACATCCAGGAGGGAATGCGGCCACTCGACGTATCCCTACGTCATGGCCAGACGTCCATTCACTCACCACTCCTTATTTAAACCTGCCTGGTCTCCAAGAAATCTCGATCCTCATCATCAACACAATAACTGACTCAAGCATATCTGACTGTCTACAACTACCACATTACAAACTCTCTATCTACAATCCTATCTTCAATCTCTAAACAAAACACACATACAACTGCCCATCATGTCTGGACTTATGCACAAGGTTAAGGATGCCGTGACTGGCCACCACAAGGAGTCCAGCAACACTTCTTCCAACACTTCTTCCTCCAACGCTGGTCCCCACTCCTCCAACGTGGCCAACAAGATGGACCCTCGCGTCGACAGCGACCGCGGTAAGCTATATCCCCCTCCAGTCGTTCCCTCCAATTCGATACTAACATAACTCCCCAGACAACCGCGCCCGCCACGAAGCCATGGGTGGTGCTCACGGCCCCCACGACTCCAGCATGGCCAACAAGATGGACCCCCGCGTCGACAGTGACCGTGACAACCGTGCCAACCCCACCGGCGGTATGGGCGGCTCCGGTGCCGGCTACTCCTCCGGTGGCTACTCTTCGGGTCCTCACGAGTCCGGCATGGCCAACAAGATGGACCCCCGTGTCGACAGTGACCGCGACAACCGTGCCCGTCACCAGGCCATGGGTGGTGCCCACGGTCCTCACGACTCCAGCATGGCAAACAAGATGGACCCCCGCGTTGACAGTGACAGAGGTACATACACACCCCCTTATCCACCCTTTATATACCATCAAACAAAATACTAACATCCTACCCAGATAACCGTGCCGCTGGCGGCTACTCCGGCACCCACACCACCGGCGCAGGCTACGGCGGCGGTGCAGGAACTGGTGCAGGCTATGGCAGCGGTGCAGGTGCAGGCTACGGCGGCAGCGGCGTGAACGACTACACCACCAGCAGCGGCTACGGCGGCAGCAGCAACGCAGGCCCT